TAGATACTATTAGTACTGCTCGGTTGGGTCATTGTGAGCTGTTCCGGACTGAGAAAGTGTTGGAGCAACATGAAGCTGGCAATCAGTCAAACAGAAAACCATCAAGGACATTGATGTACTTTGAAGGGTGTCCTAGGCGCCTAGGTTGCACGGTATGCTCATTTATTGATTTCACAGGTTTTTTTTCCTCATAAAGCTTGAACCTTTGTAGCTAAGAAGTCTGCTACCTTAAGTTTACTATCCTCCTTCCGGAGTATACTTGTTATTTGTATAACTGTTCACCAGTTCTCATTCTCAGTTTGATTAGACTTTTCTGAAACTTGTGCAGGTTGTGCTTCGGGGAAGTTGTCGCGAGGAGCTAAAGAAGGTTAAACACGTTATTCAGTACGCTGTCTTTGCAGCTTATCACTTATCACTGGAGACTTCATTCCTTGCGGATGAAGGTGCTTCTCTGCCTAAAATTAGACTGAAACAACCGGGAATGGTGCGGACAGCGTCACAAAGGAGGATAATTGATGAAGGCATTTCCTTGATAACTCAATCTCCTACAGAAACAGATAGTCAAGCTTTGATTGAAACAGCTGCACATGAAGATGAAAATACGGCCCCGATGCCTGAGCTTGAGGTTTGTGAATCATTGTGTGAGGATTTTGATCCTAGTCAAATATTCCCACCATCTTCTGGCATAATTGCTTCTGAAGTTGAGACTGCACAATCTGATGCCCTGAATGGAGATTTTGCCAGTAATTTGGTGACAAGATCATATTCTTCGAATCAGTTAAATGATTTGCATGAATCCACTTTGTGCTTAAGTAGTGAAATCCCTGAAACACCGACTCAACAGCTGAGTGGTGAAGAAGAGAACGGCAGAGGTGAAGAAGAGAACCAATTAATGAATACCCACGATTTGCCACAAAATGAGAGCCTCTATGAAGATGATGTTTCCAGCGAGTATTTCTCTGCCGCTGACTCTCATCAGAGCATATTGGTCTCATTTTCAAGCCGTTGTGTTTTGAAAGAATCAGTATGTGAACGCTCACGACTCTTGCGGATTAAGTTCTATGGATCATTTGATAAACCTCTCGGGAGATATTTGAAAGATGATCTATTCGATAAGGTAACTCTTTCATCTAAAATGTGAATCCATTTTTTTGTCTTTCACAAATTCCATGAAATAAGCAATCTAATATATATCGACTCTCCTGTCCTATTCCTGGACAGACATCTAGCTGTAGATCTTGTAAGGAGCTGGTGGATGCGCATGTGCTCTGCTATTCTCATCAGAATGGAAACCTTACTATCAATGTTAGACGTCTCCCTTCCATGAAGCTTCCTGGTGAACAAGATGGGAAGATATGGATGTGGCATCGCTGCTTAAGATGTGCACATGTAGATGGAGTTCCACCTGCTACTCGTAGAGTAGTTATGTCTGATGCAGCATGGGGATTGTCTTTTGGAAAGTTTTTGGAACTTAGCTTTTCGAATCATGCAACTGCGAATCGAGTTGCATCCTGTGGTCATTCGCTTCAAAGAGACTGCCTTCGATTCTATGGGTAACCACGCTGTATAATCTCATTCTCTAAGGTTATCTCAATGTTGTTAAAGCACTAATAACATTATGGTTTTATTGTTTTGCAGATTTGGTAACATGGTTGCGTTCTTTAGATATTCTCCCATCAATATACTTACGGTCCTCCTCCCCCCATCGATGCTTGAGTTCAACAGCCATCCTCAACAGGAGTGGATACGGACAGAGGCAACTGAGGTAAATTAAAAAATTTAAGGCTCTTTTGCTTCAGGTTTTGGATATGCAAATGCTATACCCTTATTTACTTCTCTGTTTGTGCATTTTACAGCTTGCTGGTAAAATGCGGACTATGTATGCGGAGATATCTGGTATGCTCAACCGCATGGAAGAAAAAAGCAGTTTGCTGGAACCTGAACAATCTGAAGCATGTGATCTACAGAGTCGCGTCATCGGATTAAAAGATCAACTCGTGAAAGAAAAAGATGAATACGATGTGAGCTTCTGGTTCTTTTGCTTATGCTTCTTCTGTTTCCCTTTTTTAAAGACTTCTTGTGCTTCTGAAATCTTGAATTTGATGGAACCTTCCTCATCATGAACAGGATGCGCTGCAACCTATTTTTGAGGAGAATCTGCAAATTCAGGGAAGTTTGGATATCCTAGAGCTGAATCGATTGAGGCGGGCACTCATGATTGGTGCTCATGCTTGGGATCATCAGCTTTACTTGTTAAACTCTCAACTCAAGAAAGCATCAGTCTTTAAAACTGGTGATGACAATGCTTCTCGGAATCCAGAGATGCAGGATCCTCCAAAGATTGACCGTAGAATGCAGGAAGGTTCAGATGAGAGGGAAGAACAAGCCCATACTGATTCAGAAGCTAATGGTGATAACAAAGATCCAGAAAACATGCCCTCCCCTGGCACTTCTCTGTCTGAGAGGATAGATTCGGCTTGGTTGGGCTCGTTTCAAAATCTAGAGAAAGCCGAGACAATCGCTGAGACAGAAGGCTTTTCAGCTGTTAATTCTCCTCTCCGGAGGCTCGCCAGGCCAATTCGAGTCCAGTCTTTTGATTCAGCGATACGATTTCAAGAACGGGTTCAAAAAGGTTGGCCACCATCTTCTTTGTATCTCTCAACCCTCAGATCTTTCCACGCTTCTGGCGAGTACAGGAATATGGTGAGGGACCCTGTTTCAAATGTGATGAGGACGTACTCACAGATGTTGCCACTGGAAGTACAGAAATTGGATCTGATTGTTGGTTCAGCGCCTACATACATCTCTTCGGCATCTCAAATGGCTGATGGGGCGCGGATGCTGATCCCTCAACGGGGCCTTAATGATATCGTGGTTCCTGTATACGATGATGATCCGGCAAGTGTTGTATCATATGCTATCAATTCAAAGGAATATAAGGAGTGGATCGTTAACAAAGGTCTCGCTTCTAGTAGTAGTAGCAGCAACTTGAATAACAAAGAGTCCGAACCTTCCACCTTCTCGACTTGGCGTTCTCTGTCGATGGATGTTGATTACATTCAACACGCGGTGTATGGGTCTTCTCAAGACGATAGAAAGTCTCCGCATTTGACCATTTCTTTCAGCGACCGCGCTTCTTCTTCCTCTACTGCAACTGAAGGTAAAGTGAAGTTCTCTGTGACGTGTTATTTTGCAACGCAGTTTGACACTCTGAGAAAGACATGCTGTCCGAGTGAAGTGGACTTTGTGAGATCCTTGAGCCGATGTCAGAGATGGTCTGCACAGGGAGGGAAAAGCAATGTTTACTTTGCCAAGTCATTGGACGAGAGGTTCATCATAAAACAAGTCGTCAAAACCGAGCTGGATTCTTTCGAGGATTTTGCACCTGAATACTTCAAATATTTGAAGGAATCACTCAGTTCCGGGAGCCCCACTTGTCTTGCTAAGATTCTCGGTATCTACCAGGTTAGTGACAGTATAAGAAATGTAAACTTGTAGGACTTTACAATGGAATAACTAAGCATGTGAACGATTGATTGGAATGCTATGGCTTGCAGGTATCAATTAAACACCCGAAAGGTGGAAAAGAGACAAAGATGGATTTGATGGTGATGGAGAATCTCTTCTACAACAGAAGAATATCGAGGATCTATGATCTCAAAGGATCTGCACGGTCACGGTACAATCCAAACACATCCGGAACAGACAAAGTTTTGTTAGACATGAATCTACTTGAGACACTGCGCACAGAACCGATATTTCTAGGAAGCAAGGCCAAGAGAAGCTTGGAAAGAGCGATATGGAACGACACCAACTTCTTGGCTGTAAGTAATCACATAACTTTTTTTGTTCTTAATGTTTTGGTTAATCTGTTTGCTCATTATCTCTCTCCCTTGTTAGTCTGTGGATGTTATGGACTATTCATTACTGGTTGGGTTCGACGAAGAGCGTAAAGAACTGGTTCTTGGGATCATCGACTTCATGAGACAGTACACATGGGACAAGCACCTTGAGACTTGGGTCAAAGCTTCAGGCATTTTGGGTGGACCCAAGAATGCTTCTCCAACCATAGTCTCACCTAAACAGTACAAGAGGAGGTTTAGAAAGGCCATGACCACTTATTTTCTCACTGTTCCTGAGCCATGGACCTCTTGAGTGATAAAAGAAACCATTTTTCATCATTCTTTTGTTTACTGATTCCAATTTGTTCTTCTCAAAATAAAAAGGGAAATTGGTTAACAGACACATATTATACAGGTTCGAACCTGACTGATTGATTTGTCTTTTTTTTTTTTTTTGGTGTGTTGGTTTCTCTGAGTTCTAGAGAATTGTATATTGTAATTATCGGCCAAACTAAAGCCCCCCAATTGAAAGAAAAAAAATACTAATGATTTGCCTTTTTCGTATATCTCTTTTCTTTTGACTTTGTTGTAGTGTCATACTGTCATGTACAGGGGCGGATCCAGACATATATTTAGTATGGGGCACTAGTATAATTAAAAATTAAATTAGAGGCATTTAAATAAATTTTACATTAGTTGTTTAAGAAAATAAAAAAATTAGAGTGTGGCACATGCCCCACCTTGTGCCTTCCTGCGTCCGCCCCTGGTCATGTAACAGAACCAAAGATGTGTTCTATAAGTGGATAAGAAACATTATAAGCTTAGTATCTCTCTTAAGAATTGTGTTTTGTGTTTCATAGTAATACCCTTGGTCTCAAGCTTGTTCCAATTATCTTTCATTAAACTAAAAATAAGAATAAAATAGAGGAAAACTAACTAGAAACCACAGGTCTTGCTTTGCTCTTTTCAAGAAATCTAACCTTTTTCAGCAACCAAAAATGATCAAAGAAAAATTTCTTGAAACAATTTAAAAAATTATCTGAAAGACACAACTTATTCTTCCACTTGTTGTTAGTTTGTATATATTTTTTCTTAATTTAGAATAGACTAGAAGAAGTTGTAACAGTCTTTATCAAAAAAAAAAAAAAAGTTGTAACACAAGTTGGAGAACATTTGTTTCCTAGTGTAATTAAAGATGCAAGAAACATGGCTTGAGAAACGGATCGATGTTTCAACAAAAATAAAATAAGATCAAAGCCCTTAAAAAATAATGATCACCTCATGTGATTTTGGCACCTTCTTCTTTTTCTTCAATCCCAAAGTTTCTTCCTCCATTACGAAGCAAATGTTGTTGTCTTTGATGAATCAAACCACTTGGTATGTGAAGGAGACAAAGTTGTGTGATCTTGTTGGAGAAATCAGAGCCACTCTCACTCTCTTTCCTCAGTTTCTCAATTTTCCACTTTGGTAACTTCAACTTCACGCTACTCACTTCTCTCTCTTCATCATCAACCTCCTCTGTCTTCTTCTTCATTACCGAGAGATCAGATGATGATCTACGAGACAGCTTCAGATTTTCTAGTCTCTCCTTCGCACTCATCTGTATTCCCGACCGAACCCTTCTTGGAGTTCTCTCTTTCCATGTTCTGTCACATGGGTTTCGAAAGATTACTCAAAAAGATTCTAACTATGAATACCTAAAACCAAGAGGAAATTGAATGGAGGAAAATAATACCTTGGAAGTTCCACCATGAAGTAAAGCCTTTTGGATTCCAAGTTTTGGTGAGGCTCTAAGGGCTTTGCTCTGATTCCTAAACGCTTCACCGCTTCTGATTCCAAGAGAACGTGACCGGGAAAATCTTTAACTACAGTACCAGCTTTCACTGGAGTTTTCAGCTTGAAACTCTCGCCATTGATGTTCATGATTTTCGCAGTTTTCTTGCTTACCAAACTATTACCCATTTTGGTGAATGATGTTGTGTAAAATGTTGGTATCTTTTAAGTTCACAAATGAGATGAATTTTTTTTTGTGGGTGGGTGCCTATTAAGAGCTCAGTAGTTCAAGGTGGGTGTTGTGTTAGATCAGATCATTATAGATTTTGGATTTGATTTATGGTTGGTTGCTGATGATAGTGAACCATTTCTTGGTCAACAAAATGCCAAACTCTTGAAAATTATTTAAACAATGAGAAGACAAAAGTTACGTCGCATCTCACTATCAATCTTGAAAAGACCAATAACAACCCAAAAATTATGTTTAGTTTTTTTATAAATTGAAATGGAAAATGTGTACTGTTCTTCACTTAGACCATTGTATAATTTGGAAGTTTTGTGACCAATGTTTTCTGAGAAAAGGACACTTGCGTTAATCACTCCGATTAATCTGGAAAATTACATTGTCGAAACTTTTTTTCCCAAAGGCACGTGAAGAGATTGACTTCTTACGAATTTGAAAACAAAAGCTAATTTGATTTCTCTTTCTAGGAACAGTAACAAACGACCTTTATCAATCATATGATATGTTGGACAAAATTAACAAATCAATACAAAGGTGAGTCAAAAAAGAGTTCGATTCTCGTTAACTCTTTTGACTCCACCACTTTCTCAAATGGAAATTAATTAGTCATCCAAAAACTCAAAAATAAAACAGGACATAATAAACAGATCAATAGCCAGCAAAACTAAATTAATTTATGTTAAGGGCTATTTAGAGTGAACCTAATTTTCGGGATGATTTACGGAGAAGCTCTAGCAAAGAATTAGCTTTTCGTTTAGCTCTCTCTGTACCATCTCTTGATAGTTCCATCAATGGAACAACAGCTCCAAGTCTACCAATGGAGATTAGTTTTTCAGTATCTCTCTTGCAAAGAGATAGTAGTATCGCAGCTGCGTTCTCTCGGTTTCGCGGTTGATCCTTCTGGAGACAATCTATCAAAGGTGGTATCGCTTTGGCTCTCAAAATCGCAGTTTTCGCGACTTGGTTACTAGCTAGAACCGAGAGTATGGTCAAGGCTTCATCGGCCATCCTGTCGCTCGAGGAGTCAGTCAGCATTTTCACCAATGGGTATACTATACCGGCTCTAACCGCTCTGCCTTTGTTTCCCTGATAAATACACAAGTTAAACAGAGCCGTGGCTGCGTCTTTCTTCCCTCTGACGCTTCCATACTGAAGCAGATCCACTAAGGCTAGTATCGCACCCGATGCGCCTATTATGATCTTGTTTTCATCAGCTAACGAAAGGCTAAAGAGAGTAGCTGCAGCGTTTTCTCTAGCTTCCATGGTTCCAGCTCGGAGGACTAGCACTATAGATGTGACTGCTCCTGCAAGCATGATCAGTTCTTTGTTGTGTTCGTATATGGAGAGGTTAAGAATGCAAGTGACAGCATTTTCCTGCGTTTCTGTGTCCTCTGAGATCAAAAGCTTGACCAAAACAGGGATGGCTCCTGCTTCTGCAATCAGAATTCGGTTGTCCGTGCTTGTTTTTGACAGAGAGCGGATTTCAGAAACCGCAGTCCTGCGGTCTTCGATTGATCGGCTAGAGAGTTTACGAACCAATGCCCGGATCGCTGACATGTCTCCACTTAGGTCACGGAAAGACCCATCAGGGTTTTGGGTCCTACCGTTCATGTAACCACCTGGTTGCTCAATGTTGTGCTTAGTGCACCACTGGGATATCAGGCTTCTGAGGACATAGTTTGGAGTAAGAGTAAAGTTTTTGAGTTTCTGCTGGGTCTTTGGGCATCTCAGATTTCCACAGTCTATCCATCTCTGTATGTACGACCTCTCGTATGTCTGTCAACGAAGAGGGAAGATCATTGTTAAGGTTTCAAATCAACAACCATACGTTAGTGCTATGTAAAGATTTGATATTTAAAATCAGACCTGTCCTGTGGAAACAATAGCAGGATCCTTCATCAGTTCCAGAGAGATTGGACAAAGAAAATCCTCAGGGATCGTGAGTTTATCCGATTTCTGTGAGTCATCACTGTTCTTGGTAACTACTTTCTCTAATCTCTCATCGTCAGCATCCTTTGATAAAAAGAAGGCCAAGGAAACCGAAGAGCTCTTCCGGGGAGGCGCTGATTCAAATTTCTTCTCATCTGATAAAGGAGCGTTGGAATGCACTGTTTCTGAAATACTCTCCAACCTCTCAATAACTTTGCTCTTTGTATTGCTTGAGGCATCTTTCTCCATTGGCTCAGATAAATCACTCGAGAACTTCTTCGAATTTAAAGATCCATATCTCTGCATTGCTCTTCTTAACTGCAATCTTGCTAGTTCCACCTGATCACAAGCAAGAACATTAGAAACACCTCCAACCAGACACAGAAAAACCAATCTTGCTAGTCATGAACGAACTTTACCTGTTCGCAGACTTCGTCAGAGATGTCATATCGATCATATGGCAAATCACCTAATGCTTTCTCCAACTTCCATGTAACACATTGGAACTGGAATAAGATTCTCTTGGCAGCCCCATCCTTCAATCAAGATTACACATCAAAGTTTAGATATTTTGTTAAGAAATGCTTGTGACTACACAAAATGTCAACAACAACAGTTTCCAATCTAAAAGACTGAAAACAAATTCTTCCTACAAAATAAGTTCCTGCAATGAATGAATCTAAAGAATAATCATTTCGTTAGTGAAATCGAATTCAATTCCATTTTCAATCGTAGAGAATGCTTACAGAGGACTCGCTAGCTTGGAAACTAGTAGCTGAAGACAAAAGACGCTTCGCGGCTTGAAGCCCCACAACAAGATCAGACCACCAATCACATTCATAAGAAATCAAAGAAGACGAAGCATCAGATTCCGGCGGAGGAGGAGAAAAATCCCTAATCTCCTCAATCAAATGCGTCAAGAGACCAACTCGTCGCGCGAGATCGGCACAATCCTTCTTGAACACCCCGAAATTCACCGGAACCTCATTGATTTCGGCGATAAGACCGATCAGAGAAGCGGGAGTGATAGCTCCACCAGCCATTACGCCGTCGCATACGACGGCTTGAAATTCGAATTTGGGACTCGCTCTCTCTCGCTGGCTCGCTTCTGACACAGATGCGTCTCTATCGTTTATGTATATCCAACGAAGCCATGTGGCGAAAAAAGATCAGTCCTATTACGACACCGTTTTGGTTTCAGTGTTTTTTTTTTCCTTTTCTTTTCCTTTCAGTTTAAGTCCAAATATGGATTTTGTTTTTAATTTATTTTAGATAAAGATTTATGTAATACATTAGAATAATACAATACAACAAAACTGGATAATTGAGGGCAAGATTCCTGGAGCTTGAAGAGAAGAGGATACAGTTGTAAAAAAAATATCAATTATTATGATTTTATATTGAAACCAAACTTTAAAATAGAAACGAACCATACTTTTAAATTCAAGAAAACTCAACTTTTATATGTATTTAAGGATATGGTTTGTTGCGTGCTTAGTTGTAAAGTCGATCTTGTATTATTGTATTTTTATAGTTGTTGAAATTTATTATATTCTAATGGAGTTATAAGGAATAAAAGAATTGACCAATGGTATCTATATGTATTGTATAATTTTAAATGGTAATAAATAGTCAAGTTAATTAGTTTTTCTATATGAAATGAAGCTAAGATAGAATTTCCAGTCCTTAGATACATTGTATTGACATGTTTTTATGGTATATGATCTGTCTTACACTTATTGAAAGATGGAAAAAAATATTTTCTTTGTAATTACCTAATTATAGCTTTATATGTTTTCTTTTCCTTTAAAAATTTACTTTTTATGTGTAATTATAGTTGTTTGATCGTTGATTTGTAACTTTTTGAAATCTTTTACTCCTTTTTAAAAAGCAGCAGTGTGGGTTTTTCCAAAGCCGAATTATTATACTTTTGGAGATTTTTTTCGTAGGATCCAAGAAAAACTCATTTGAAAGACATGATAAACACATTACGACTACAGTAATATTTCACTCCCAAATATAATGACATTAGGTATTAGATCCAACGATATCATAATCAAAACTTTTGTCTAATAAATATATATAGCTCAAAATTTTAGCAGAAATTTTAATATTGTACAGCAGAAATATTTTAGAACAATTATGTTTGATGCGAAAGGTGGTCTCGAGATACTGTGTTTGTTCTTGTTGAAGCTGGCCAAGCAAATCTTGTTTTATCTGCTTCATCTCCCTAAGTTAGCCAGGCAAGGCAAAGTCGCAAACACTTATATGTTGCTTAATGTAAATTTGTGAATCGGTAAATTTAGATAAACTACCCCAAAGCAAATGTTGAAAACAAAATTAAAAGTATCTAACCATAAAACTTAATATACCCTTATTAAAATTTCATTCTTTCATACAATACAAACACATTAAATCAAAAAGGCTACAAAATCTATGAGTAGTAATTAGCTATACGAATGTGTAGTAAAAATTAAATAGTTTGAGGATGATATGCGCGCGATCACATGGCATATACTGTGAAGTAACATAATTTTGGTGAGTATTATAGCATGATCGTATCTTAGCCCTATTTAGCTACTCCAGGAGCAAAAGTTCATGGGCATGAAAACGGAACGGTCGAAGATGACCCGAATTTTAACAACTTTTTAGAAGATTTGAAGTATGTAAACAATTTGGGACCTATAATTTTCTGAAACTATTTTACAACAGTTTAGTATACTTTGAATAAAATTTGTAAATATGATTTACAAGTTTGTATTAAAAAGTTATATCGGTTTAACAAAAGAAAGGTTCAAATTAATTACTATTAACCGACATTTACTCGTCCCCCTTCTCTCCTCGAGTTCTTCTTCTTCTTCCTTCTTCTTCGTCTGGGCAAAGCTTCGGCCAGCGCGTGACGGCTCCCACAGCGTCAGCGTTGGTCTCGTTTTCTAGTTGTCTCTTTAGATTTCTTTATCGTTTTGTTTTTGTTGTTTTTGGAACTTGTAGTTGAGCGATGAGTTGTAGATCTACTTTTGGTCTTCTCAGCGAGGTCTCGTTTTCCGTCGATCTTGGCTTCATCAGCGAGGTCGGATGGCTTTTGTCTCCGGCGAACTCAGCTTTCATAGTGAGTTTTGTTCGGCTAAGTTTCCGGCGTGCTCGGCTTTTCTAGCGAGCTTGGTTCGGCTAAGTTTCCGGCATCGCTCGGCTTATTCAGCGAGGTTGGCCGGCTTGTTCAGCGATTTTTCTGGGCTTGGGTTTGTGTAGAAGGAAAAGTGCTTCGTTGTGGTAATTTTCCTGAGGGGGAGTTTTGTTGGCCTTTGGTTTTCAGAAGAGTTTTCAAGCTTTGGGTTCTTGTTGACTGAGGATCTTACAGAAGTTTAGGGTAAATTAGATTGCACTCATGGCTCTGCCGGGTCGCGCGTTAAGTGTAAATGTTCCTGGGACGGGGGTTAAGTGAGAGATTTGGTTTTACCTTTAATTATATTTTCTATTGGAATTTCTGTTAAGTTTCTTCTTTCGATTAGTTCCTTTGTGGTCTTGTTTCACTCGAGTGAGTTTGTTGTACTTGTTTTAAAAGCTTTGGCTCCGAGGAATATGTGTTTTCCGTCGGTTTGACCGTCTTTGTATGACTTCATCTTTGGTTATTATAAATAAAATCTCCAGATGACAAAAAAAAAAAAAAAAAAAACAAAAGAAAGGTTCAACCACGACATCCACATCATATCGGCCGCGTCCTCCATGCCCGTGACTTATGCGTCCTACATAACAACCAATGAACCAATAACAACTTGAAAAATAGACAATATTATCTCTTAGACATTTTTGTTAAGTTTGACTGGCTGGTTTCGCAATTTTTTTTGGACATATGCAAAAATAAAGAAATCTACCTTTTTAAAAAAGATTAATTAAGAGGGTATTCGTCTAAGACTCTGAATCAGATAAAGATTCTAAATAACCTTGAAGTGTTTGATAAGGCATGTGATTTTTGCTTTGAACATCCACACAAGCACAACTCTCCACTGACCACAATACGTACTCGCCGTTATTTCTGAAATTTATGGGGTATAGTTGTACTTGCGGAACAAAGTCAAATAATATGAAAGTGAAGGTGAGATCAGAGTTTATGCAGTTGTGTAAACAACTTCATTGATGGTTGTAGATTCTGCAATAGTAAAAAAAAAACCTTAATGATGATTGTAGTTCCTATGATAAATGGGTCCATTTTCTCAGCAAACAATCTTCTTTCTACTTGTCAAACCTTCGTTTTCTTTGGTCATGCAATTTTGTTTAATACTAGATGATGTTTGAATAGCGGTTGTACAAATGTATTTACTTTCAAGAGGACTTTATTAATTCTCAATCTCAAAAACAAAAAGAAAACTCTATTAATTGATGTCTAATATGTTTACACCAAAGTCACATATCAAACAAAGCATAACAAATTTATAGTCTCCATGCTTAAGACATCCTTAAATAGATTGATGTCTTTTGGTTTTGTAAGTAAACTAATTTGCTTCCTTTATATCTTTAGTAAGTAAGTTTCGTATTGATAGATTCCTTTGTGCAAAAAGAGAGTTTTAAATTGTTTTTGCTTAAAGAATAAAGTGTAGTTTGGAGGAAGATGAACATACTTGTCCATTTTAAGAGAGTTAATTAATGCTTCCCGTCAATGTGCATCGCCAATACATTGCTCTATATATTAGCTAATTTCTTTCTGCTGGATTGATCCCATATTCAGCGGTTATCGTCGGTTGGTTATTAACGATTTACTACTACTAATCACCGAAAACAAAAGCAGACATTTAAGAGAATAGTTGTTCAACGACCAGCCGGTCCAATTCAGGATTAACATATTTCAAACATCGTTATACATCTCTCTAGTGAATATTATAATATATGCCTTTGTAATGTAACATTATTTAGCAAGATGTGTACAAAGAAATTAATACAACAATTTTCATTGGAATAGAAGAAGCGTTTCTTGACCTGTTGAACCATTGTTAGAGGATTCACTAAAGTCTTGAAGGCAACGAGCTGGCAAAGAAGTCACGGTCGGGATGAGAGCGATGTTGAGGTCAGGCAAATGACTTCGTCCGGTACTAGTACTATCCTCCGAGCAATTCGTACTTGGAATGGGTAAAATTGTACTTATACCACATGATTCGGATACTGAAGAAGACTGATCACTAATAATCTCTGTTTCATGTTCCTTATGTGAGGAATTGAGGTATCGTCTCGAAATGTATTTGGTGTGATAGTGGAGACGATGATTGGTTGGGTCGATTCCCATTTTCATGAGCTTCCGCTTTAAGTAAGTGTCCCAATGGATCCTAACTTCGTTGTCCGTTCGTCCAGGCAATCTTCCCGCTATCAATGACCATCTGAAAAAACATACCATCAAAAATTATTATTATCACGTAACATTCACATTACTATTGAATTAAAGAAGAAGAAGAATTAATAAGAACCTATTGCCAAGAAGTGCATGAAGCTTGAGGATGAGGTCGTCTTCGTCTTTTGAGAAGTTAATTTGTTTAACTTCTGGCCTTACGTAGTTTCTCCCTCTCAATCGACATCTCCTACCGCGGTGTTGCATTCCTAAAAATGATTAGGGATCAAATTTCACAAATTAAAACGATATATCGTCACAAACTCCCGCATGCATATCTACATATGTGATATATAAGTTCTACATCGACCTCTTTAAACTATGAATAATTGGTCATATGAATAGCAAAACATACGAATGTTACTGTTAATAAAAAGAAAGAAAATAAGTTACCGGAAGGCGGAGAGAGAGCACGGAGGCGGATCTTGTTCATGTCTTTTTCAAAGTGAGATTGGTTCGAGTTATGTTTTTTTTTTTTAAACTGTTAATTGATTGTGAGGTGGTTTGCGAGAAGCAAACTGATATATAGGATTAGGGGATGGATAAAGGATATAGGTTTGACTTGGACTGGTGGGTTGAGAGAAGCGTGCATGCTCATTTAAACATTAATGAACGAGGAAGAACAAGAAGAACACATCAACCTTGTTAATTGGTCCTACATTTTGAAGTTGAAACAAATAAAAATTGGTCCCATATATGTTCAAAGCCATTAGAATTTGTGTAATCATAAATGTGGAAATATGTCGCATTTAATTTGCCTTACCAGTACCAATCCAAATCTCACTCTTATCCACATTTTCGTAAAATAAAAGTATGGCTTCGATAGATACCTTTTGTGAAATATCAAAGTGTGTGGTATCTCAATAATAGTTTCACTCAAATATGTGTGGAGTATCAAACAAGAAGAAGACGAAGAAGATATTTGACAAGTGGCTCAAGATTATTTGGATGTATTATTTGATATAATATCAGAAGTTTCCGAATATAATATGAAAATACACAAATTATGAGAAAACAGGAGGAAACCATAAAATTAAGAAGAAACATGGGAGCATTGAATTGAATTTGACTGGTGGTTAGGACTTAGTATACGAGGATTTTTCCAATTTCACTCACCTCTCCCCTCTCTCACTTACCACCTACCCAAAATCATCTAATAAGTAAAGAAAATTGTTATTGAACCCCTTAAAGCCCGTAAATGTTAGCCCAAAAGCCCATTAAAAATGTGGCCGAGTGAAAAACAATGATACCAATATTTCAATAGAAGTATTCTTAAGATTTTCTGTATAAAGAATTAAACATATCACGAATTCAATCAAATATATCAACTCTTTCGTATTCTGCACTCGTAATTGTAAGTTGTTTTGTTTTGGAATTATAGCAACATTTAACATCTTGTCACTTGACCATTGCAAAAGGCCTCATCATCATGTTATCTTCATGGTCCAATATCTGCAATTTCAATCATATAGTTAGAGTTCTAAAAGAAAATGCTAAATTCGTTATCATTATTTTAGTTTTTTTACTAGCTTACGTGGCAATGGTAGACATAGCCTGGCTCTTGCGTTGCGTCAAAGGAGTAAGATTCGTTTGAGTGAATGTAAGAAAATCTGACGAGAATCTTTGTTACATGCCCCGGCATCATCTTGAATACGTTTTTCCATCCCCGCTCGTGTACCGTCACCGCGGTCTTGTTTCCTCGAGCGTATTTGCTAATCTGACACTTGACGGCATCGTTTTCTTTAGTCATACAGTCTGTGAACTCCTCACTATTCACCAATGCCGTTTGCTCCAATACTTTGAACAATCCCAAGTGAATGTGCAATGGATGGTTATCCTCCGTTAAATTAATCACTTCCCACACCTTCATTATTGTAAGAGTTAATTTTACCAACTAGACGGTTAATAAATAGTGAAATTGTAGTAATAAATACCTCGCTTGTGCCGATTTTTGGAGTTTCTGTCACGGGAGCGTTGTACGGCAAACCGTTGATGTATAGATGCGTTGGCTCGTCAGTGCTAGACACATACTCGAACATAGCGATGTAACGTGTACGGGACGAGGTTGATACATGAGCAGGCGGGTAATCAATTAGCTTCTTCGGAATAATCGACGTGTCAACTTCTGATTTGTTCTTGATTATAAACTTCATGACTTTGCTGTTCTCTTCCGTGACAGGATCTCCGGACGGGTAAGGATAAGGTGCATTGTTGGCAAGAATTGCCGTTTTCGTCGTTGACTTTGAAAAGTCAACGACGACGTCGACAATCTCCGATGGAGCGAGGAGGACCGATTTGGTCGATACTGGTTTCGATAGATAAGCTGAATCAGAACCCACGACAATGAATTCGAGACCGTTGGAGAAGAAGAACCGGAAAAACCTTGCGTTACTAGCGTTTGTGATTCGAAATCTATATTTCCGGCGACGGACGGTTAGTCTCGGCCAAGCTTTACCGTTCACAATGATGGCGTCGCCGAAATACTCTGGCTGCCATTGTGGATGAATCGACGGGTTGTTCCCTGTGGCGTTCATGTAAATGGAACCATCTTTACGAAAACTTCGGTCAAAGATGACCAAAGGACGATCGAATTCGCGTCCGGTAGGTAACCGGAGAGGCGATTCGACCGAGCTATGGCGGAGAATGTAAGCACCTAGCAAACCAGCGAGAAGGTTGACTCTAGTCAAACCCGCCGCGTGGTCATGGTACCACATGTTTCCAGGTTGTTGCTTGTTAACGTAATGCGTAGTCTTTTTAGTCCATTTAGATCCAGTCTCTTTGAAACCAGCAGTGAACCATGAATCAGCATTGCCATCGCTTGTTGGTTCGTGGATGCCTCCGTGCAAGTGAACCACCGTGGGAATGCCGCCGTGTTTAGGGATTGCAGGGGAGATTGTTGGGTCCCAAGGGAGGATATGATGTAAAGGGAGGTGATTTCGCCACGTCACGTAGGTGTCGACTCCATAAACAGCTTCTATTGTCGGTCCAGGAACTGTTGCTGAACGCCTTGATGTACCATATGCGAACACTGGCGTGGCAGGCAAGTCTCTGTGGAATTTCTGTAGTTCACAATAATTTAACTCATATTAGTGTGTGTGACAGTGTTAGAGAATATTCAAAAATTCAAATCATTCGATTTAATAATTAGCAGAGTAGTAAAATAGTTTAAAGAAGCAGAGCACAATTAGCTAGGCCAAAGTGGTATAAAAGCAATCATAATTATATAGTTAGTGGGTACTAACTTTCTATCAAATAATCATTATATTTTATGTTGTTCTTAGTACAATTTATCAAAAACAAAATGTAAAGAGCTACACACTATATATAAAATAAAAGAGTATTATTCATTCGGTAGGAGAGCAAATAATATTAAATTTGACTAGTGATAAAAGAAAGAGCACTGATTCGTCAGTACTCAGTACTATAAACATTAGATATTTTTCCCAAGAGGACAAGATTGGATACACAAGATGAATCTATTCCAATCACTTTACCAAGAAAGAGTCGTAACTAAAAAGCGATTACTCTTCACTAATCTATACGATTTCGAATATTTAATAAGTTAATTTATGTCATTAATGATTTTAGATTCAATATTTATTTTGGTCAAGAGTTTATAAACAAAAAGGAATTTGAGTATTCATTCGGTGAAGGGCAAATAATATTCAACATGACGAGTGATAAAAAAGTATATTATCATTATAACTTTTTCTCAAAGACGACAAATAAGTGAGGGAGGGGACAAGAGTGTGAACTCAACACGAACCTATTCTAATCACTTTACAACCTAAGAGCCGTAGCCAAGTAAAAAGCAAATTAACTTCACTAATCTTATACGATTTCGGATTTAATGTTAATATTCAACATTAATTAGCCTGTTTAAGTTGGTCAACAAAATTAAGTCTATTTTCTTGCATGTAATACAGGTGTAAATCACTAAATGATGATTATTTGAATTTTCTATCTAAATATTTTGGCCATTTATAGCCTCATGACAGAAATGGAAGATGATCTGTTTTCACGAATGACTATAGACTGGAAATATAATTTCACATACCAAATATAACTTCAGAAAACAGAGGAATAAGGAAAAAATTAGAAAAAAAGGAAAGAATTAAAATGAGAATAAGGTAAGAATTAAATACCCATTTCTTGAAGAACATGCCTATGTGAAGAGATTTGGGTTTAAGGAAGCCATTGACGAAGTGGTAGCCATGAAGAGTAGGGATATGAGGAAGCTTGTCAACGAACATCTTTAGCTTCTCAAGATTAAACAGTCGCTCCTCTGGCTTTATGCCTCCTGCGTCTCCGGTTACGAGCCATGTCATCGTTACGACTAGGAGGAACATGTCTCTGGTCATTATCCTCCGAGAAGGCTTAGGCTCCATGTCTTTGTCCTTCACGAGCTGTCGAAATATGCGAAAAGTCAAGTGTGTGTGTGTTTGTGTTTGTATGTGTGGAATACTTCAAAAGTTGAGGAGAGAAGTTGAAGAAGTTCTTTGGGTTTTTGCGTATTTATACATATGAGTGTGTGGTGTGAAATAACTTTGTTGCTCTTTGCTTTCATACTTTTGACTCTTGAGTTGCTTCTTTCCTAAAATTTATCATCTAAAAAGGAATGGTTTTTTAATTAGTAAACTATTCTATGTTTATAAAAGTAGAATTTGAATATTATGTACTTGATGACTAATATTTATTTTAAATTTACTATGATTCATATCTATCAAAAACTGAAAATTAAACAGGGTTTATAATTATTTTTTTGAATAACAAGGTTCATAATTCTGGCTTCTCAAATGTCGGTTAGATGTCCATTCATACGACAATATGGATTTTTTTCGAATAAATTTGACCTTCTTCTAAGAAGCTCATTCTTTTTATTTTCTAATATAACTAATACAAGAAAGTAAACCATGGAAACTTTTGGGCCTAGTTAGTCCACTGTATTTCGTCCCATTACTAAGATATTTTCTCTAACTTAAGCGTTACAAAAAATTTTAGAATGACTTTTTCCAATCTCTCAGAAATTGTCTTAACCATGTTATCGTTTTAGCTACTTCACTTCGCCTCCCGTAACATGGATTATCGCAGACCAATAATGGCTAAAGGTTACCATCCAAGCTTGTGGGAGGTCTCATAAGCATTCCTTCACCAAACGGATCTTTGCTCGCATGTTTAAACACCGAATTTCAACTATTGAAATTTGTAGTTATGTTTGGCCTTAAAGGTCGAACCGTTTATCTGCGAGTTAGCCGAAATCCAGCATACCTATTACCCCTTGTTTGAAAAATCGCTAGGCGCTAGTCGGGCGCTAGGTATGGGTCTAGCGATTAATCGGAAAATCGGATTAAAATCGGGGATTAATCGGGGATTAGTTTTAGGGCTTTTTATCTACCTATATCTATAATATACAAGTTTCGCGCAATATAGAAGAAATTATAACGTAGTACAGTGGTATGTTCACACATTATGCTCAATAAACCAGGGATCGACCAACGAGCTGGCGTTTTTTGCCTTCTTTTTTGGTTTTTGCTTTAATGAAAGTTAAATTACCATTTTGCCCCCGTCTTCTTCACAATCCTGAAAACCCTAATTTCGCCGCCTCCATGATTTCTTCCGGTTTTATCATTTTTTTTTTCGTTTTTCTTAATGTTTTACAATCAATTATGATGGATCTATCAACTAACTATAGATTTGTAACCTAAATCGAAGAAAAAAGTAAAGTTTTCTCAATATCCCGATTTTAATTACCGAATAGGTTAAAATCGCGGCGGCTGCACACCGCCGAGCGTTTTCTCGCCGCCTAGGCGGCCTCCGCGGCCGCGTTTTAGAACAAGGCTATTACCTAATGTTCTCCAAAAAAATTTCATTTATTTTATTTTGATAAAAAATTGTTCTTCATTAATTTTAAAACTAGCAAAAAAGCAACCCATCAGGACATCAGTTTATCAAAGACTCAAAATATAAAATATATCTAGCCAGGCCCAAAATGAACCCAACTTGAACCAAGAACTTTTCAAAAGAGGATAATCTAACAGCCCAAAAGCTAACATATTCTTTATTTGTTACAAATTGGAACTATTGTTACTTTTAAACTCTTGTTGATGCTACTCCAAAGATTATCATCTAGCATGAGTTCTAACGTAAAAAGCAGGCAAATAGTGGTTACACACACATATATATATATATATACACTATGCTTTTCATATGAATACACATCTTATATTATACAACTGAACTAAAAGATACTTCAGTTTTTTTTTTAAGAAAAAATTTCTGACTATCCAAGTGACCCAAAAATGAAATTTAACAAGAAAATAGGGAAAAAACCCGAAAAAACCGCCATCTATTTTTTTTTTGGCCGTTTAATACCTGTGTTTTTAAATTTGGAATAAAAATACCTAATTTAATTTCGATTGCCTTTTAAAACTATCATTTTTTAAAACTTGGTAATTTCGAACCCGAGACTTAACAGTCGTTACCGGACGTAACGGAATTATTTAACGGTGTTAAATTTTAACCTCACGTGTATGTATAAATATATACCATCTGCTCACTACACATTCCGAGAATATCAATGTGGCCTGGTGGTAGCGTGTGTTGTTTTGTAAGCCACGGGACCTGGGTTCGAATCTCAAACTTTTTGGTCGCCCTAAGGCTATTTTTTTTTTTTTTTTTCTGCAGGAAACCCTAGGGCGACCATCAGCCGCCGCCCCCAAAACTTTCTCATTCTTTTTCTTCTTCCTCGAAATTTCAAATTTTGAATCTAGGGTTCGTCTTTTTCGTTGTCAAGAACACACTTCATTACTTCTTCATAAATGGAAACTCAATGATGAACCAATTAAACTCCTGGACAAAGCTGGCTTTGGATTCTTCCGCAAAATTGGTCCATTGAATCTAAACAATTCACTAATCTCTGCATTTGTTGGGCGTTAAAGAAGAAAAAACCAATAAATTTAACTTTTCTTTAGGTGAACGGAGTTATCAACAGAGGAGGCGACGGCGAGGACCATGGAGCTTTGCGTTAAAGAGATAGGAGGAAGAAGAAAGAGAAGGAAAAAAAAAAATAGCCTTCGGGCGACCACGATTGAGATTCGAACCCTGGTCGTGGCTTACAAAACAACACACGCTACCATCAGGCCACATTGACATTCTCGTAATGTGTTGCGAGCAGTTGGTATATATTTATAAAAACACGTGGGGTTAAAAGTTAACGCTGTTAAATAATTCCGTTACGTCCGGTAACGACTGTTAAGTGTCGGGTTCGAAATTACCAAGTTTTAAAAAATGATAGTTTTAAAAGGCAATCGAAATTAAATTAGGTATTTTTATTCCAAATTTAAAAACACAGGTATTAAACGGCCAAAAAAAAAATAGATGGCGGTTTTTTCGGGTTTTTTCCCCAAGAAAATACACCAAATTACCTTTTTAAAGAGTGTGAGGGAAAAAAATCAAACCTGACTAAAATAATCGATTCAAACCGAAATTAATCAATTTGAAATTGAATCAACAAAATTTAAAACAAATTCAACCATTATACACATTTTTATATTATATTCAAATTTTGTGATCAATCCAGTTCTACAAATTTCAGATAATTGCCAGTACTATTGTGGTTTCGGATAATTGTGGTTTCGCAGATAATTGCCAGTACTATTGACTTTTGAGCCTGTCTATGTTTTGGTGTTCCTAGTCAAAATGACTGAAAGCCGTCGATGTCTTGGTTACTGTACACGTGTAGATTATCCAAAAGCCACATCTTCCACCTAGCTAAAATTGCGGTTGTCACAGTCAAACGACGATTACCTTAAGTCCCACCTCAATGTGCTAAAACGCGGCGCGTTTGCGTTTGCCCTTCGTGTGTCGTTTATAGTCTCTCCATTTGTTATGTTTTGTGTCCTTTTCACAATTTCAAATCTAACATATCTTTTTTTTTGTGTTTCAACTTTTTTTTTTATTTTATTTTTAATAATCAGTCATTTCAGCTTAGTCCCAAACAGTTGATTTGAAATATTCAGGGAGATACTTAAATGTCATCTCGATCATCCTAAGCACCATATATAACTTCGAATTTTAATCTTCTTCGGATTTTATTTAAAGATCACTCATTCTAAGAATTAAACAGGTGTTTGTTTTACGTGAGGTATTTTTACTATTCACATCTTGATATAGCAATTTTTTTTTTTTTTGAGTTTAGGTATGATGAAGAAGTATAGAATTAATAAAAATTCGGCCAACATATTATATGTCACATATATATATATATACACTCATCAAGGTGTGAACTACAAAAATATTGAAGCCATACTATAAGGTTCGATATTTGTATGGTGCCACAATTTTACTCGAAGAATAATATATTACATCTCCTATCATCCATGCATGTAACAAACATACTCAAAATAGTTATAAATAAAACAAGAAGCAGACAAAACTGTGCAATAAAGTAATAGTATCGTGAGAAACAGAATTTCTAATTTCACTTACAAAATGACTTGTCTCCTTACGGGTGGTCGGAAAGATTTTGCTACGGCTACGCTCCAAGTTAATTACGGTTACTATTATTATTTTTGATTAGTTACGCGTCATTTTCTAAACCTAAAGTCATTACTAACAAAGTTATGTGTATATAGATAGCTTGCATCATCAGCCAGCCGCATATATACTTCGATTGAGGAACAATCATATTTAATGGCTCCGAAGAAAATCTAGTTAATCGATATATGTTTCGATTGAGGAACAATCATATTTAATGGCTCCGAAGAAAATCTAGTTAATCGATATATGTTGGATCTTCTACGTGTCAGAAATTACGTAATGGAAGATAAAAGATAGACTTTAGAAGTTGATATTTTATTATATGATGATGTATGGATTTCACTTTGCATGGATTAACACAAAATCAATTCATAACACTTCTTTTTCTCACCAATTTGCCTCCACAAAACCGATAAAACTCCAACAGCACGTAGCTTTTTTTTCTTCCTAATTTAATTTTACCCATGGTTTTTTTGATAACCCAGGTATCCCAACGCTCACCGACAGGGCAGGGATCCACGTGTTAGCTATCGGATACCCGACAGAGCATGGGGTCCACATGTTAGACTATCGGTTCGCTCAGACTAGTCACGTGGGCGGCCGAATGGCACTCCACGTGTCGGCTCCTGGAACGCTGCAGCCCGCATGTGAATACCGCAGTGGCCGGGGCTCGAACTCGTGATGGTGGGTACCTCAGGTGAGGGTCCTTTACCACCAGAGCTAGAGGCTCCGGTTAATTTTACCCATGTTAAACACTTCACTTCTCTTTTTCGTAATTTTATCTTAAAAATAACTTCAATTCATAACATTTAGTATCTAATTCCACTAATATATTAATTTTACATAATCGAAAAACAATATCACTCGAAAATACTTTTATATAAAACACATTGATTATACATATTCCACTAACTTATTTTGAAATTTTTACACAAGTTACATGTTGGTTCTTCCTCTATGCATACACATACCAAAAGAGAGAAAGAGCCAATTGCTTGATACAACGTTACATGTTACTAGAGTAAACTATTATTACATAACGGTACAAGCGTTGGGATTCTCGTCGCTAAAAAGAGAAACGAAGTTGTCGTCGGGAGCTCCCGGCAACAGCTGCAACTGCGACTGCTCAGATTTCCTGACATAACCGGCCGGAGCTTTTTTGTCGTAAGTTCCGACTGCGTATGGATATGCGACCATGTTGTAGGGAACGTACGGCCATATCTCCGCCTTTTTCCCTGTCCTTTCGACTCTCTTTAAGACCTTCTTCGGTTCCACGTATCCACTCACCGTCACTTTGTGTATCTTTCTGTTCACCTCCACCGATCTCACCCCTACAAGATTAATATGGAAATGGGTTGTTGTTAGTTGTCCCATGAAAGTGGTGACGTTATGGAAATCAAGAAATTATAAGGAAGACTATAAAAACCATTCAAACCTTTCATGGAGGAAACCGCGTTCTTGACTCTGCGTTCACAACCATCGCAGTCCATTTTCACCTTTATATTCACCGTCTGCATGACTTTACGCTTCCTCCTATTTCTGGAGACGCGGAAGTAGTCGGAGATATACTCAGAAAGAGAATCAAGAGCACCCATGTCTTATGTCTACTACTCTCACCAAGACGATGTCGCAGATATATATGAGAGATCAGAGATATGCATATATTATGGACTAGACTCGACCATATTTATAGCAAGTACATGGTGACTTGATAAAAGTGTTATGGCGAGGATTTAGTACAATTAAATGTGTTTAATATTCATAAAGTGTGGCCCTCTAATGATGTTTTCCTCCAAATACACACGATGGACAACGATGCCAAAGTTTTTGGGCTAAATCACACGACTCGACCGATTTCTTTGTTACAAAATTTTAACATCCGTTTTATATATTGAAAAGCTAACTATAATAAACAGAAGATTGTTTATAAAGTGATAATTTCTTCTTTTCTAACAATGTCCGATATATCGGTCGCGATTATAATAAAACAATGTCACGGGATTAGAGGTTTATCATCCCCATCACCTGAATCACCTCACAATTTCACATGCATCAAAGTTAATGCGTTGGTAATGGCAATTATGGCATGTGTAGATTCTTTTACCATCTAAACTTTTTCTTTTGGTTTTGTGTTTTAAAAAGGGTCTCTATTATAGATTACAATTTTGTTTATGATTATTAATTTCGTATTACCGATAGCCTATAGCTATTTATGATGTCGGTATGTACAAGTTTAAGGCATAATTGTAATCGTGTATTGAAAACGACATGAACATTCTAATTAATTTAACTGTTTTGTTACTTTGGATAGGTACACGATCGGATGAATGAATGATAATAGGGTTTATAGATAAACTACACAATCACACATTCAATTATTTAAATTTAGGTCAGAAACAGTAAAAGGGAATAGTAATAAGAAAAAAATAGAAAGGAATGTAGCAATAAAAAGGGCAATGATTCGATGAGAAAAATAAGGTGTGGGGGTCCGATTTTACGAAGTAGACAACTCAATCAAACTATTTATGTAGTCTATATATAGTTTGAAAAAGAAGTTATAAAGCCCTTCCACATCTTTTTTTTTATATTTTTTATCTTTATACTTTCCACCCTAGAAACTTCGTTGGCATTTTCTTCTCTTACACCCCAATTATCGTATTCTTAGACCTCTTTCTTTTTTTCCTTTTACAAATTTATATATTTCTATATTTCTCTTTCACTATTTAATTTTAGAATCACAAGAGTAATAATGTATATGTCACCACAATTTATCGAATTTCAATTTTGAGTAAATGTATCCCACGAGGCCAGGACACGAGTAATTTTTGAAAAAGTCAACAATATGCTAAAGAGGGGCATTACCGATATAAAGTTAATTCCAAAAGAGGGTTTCATTGAAATAGTCACATAATTTCAAGATGAATAAATCGACAGCTATTATATAGCACGCAATAGCATTTAGCATAGCCTCACTTTTACAAGGAAAGATTACTAATCAGGGAAACATAAGCATTGATCAATGGATATATGCGTGTCCACATCCTCCATTTACAAAAAAAATAAAAATAATTAACAACTCTATCTACACCGTGTTTGTGAAAAGAAAAAGCCGTTAATTACTTTGACCCATTCTTGTTAGTTTAACAACATTGACTTGTCCTTGGCTCAAATGTAGAAGTGGTCGTCTGATTGGTTTGTTTCATTCTTCTCCTTAGTTTTATAGGATTCCTTGCCTCTTCTGTTGTTTTATTGTTTGATCTTCCTTTGTTTCCCAGTTCCGCTTTCTTTTTCTAAGTGTTATGGTTCTCTTAGTGTCATGTATTCTATTTTGTGCTTCCCGTGAATCGGGTTTTAGTTTCCGGAGATTTCTTTGTTTTTTTGCCCGCTAGGTATTTCAAAAACGTATTCCACCCATGTATTTTTTTTTTTGTATTATATTATGAAAATGATTAGGTGAAAAAAAAGAAAAAGAAAAAAAACAACATTGACTTGTCATTTGTCATAAGACTCCTAACGAAATAACTTAATTCATATACCAAAACATCTCACACTCTGGTAGTGTTTTCTATATGGTGACTACATCATACAACTGTGTCCGTGCACTTTTGCTCGGAGAGAAAACAGTCTCTAGATGCTCAGATCTCTGAAATTTTGGATAGATCATAGATCGTAACAATTCAATAGTCCAAAAAGATGAAACAAAATGTAGTAAAAGAGATAAACAAGAAGAGAAAACAGAGCCGTGAAAACCCGTTTCAGCCAACAAGTTGGCTTTTCCTCAGCCTATCCATCTTTACAGCCAAATCCGCGACTTTATCTTTCCGGCCTTCATCGAGAAGCGTTTGTTTAAGACGGCTAAACATATGTCCCGGTGGCCTAATACCAACATCCAACATCTCATTGAAATACTCACAAGCTTCGTCTAATTTATTCTCATGGCACAGAGCTGTGATCAAACTTGAGAACATGTGCATTCCCGGAAGAACACCTTTTCCTTTCATCTCGTCCCAAATCTTGATCGCCATATCCAATCTCTCTTTGTTGCAAAACATCCTCACCATGATCTCGTAAGTACTCACCGTCGGTTCACAACTCATCTTCTGATAAACTTCATAGGCTTCTTTCGTGCGCTGCATTCTAATCAAATGATGAAGAATTATATCATAAGTTCTAGCATTTGGGCCAATCCCTTTTGATCTCATCTCATCCACGGTTTTAAATGCATCTTCCATTCGCTGTGACCAGCAATAAGCTCCAACTAGTGCATTGTAAGTAGGAGCTTCAAGAGGAAACCCGGAACTCTTTGATCTCTCAAAGAATTCAAGAGCATCATTTAGCTTCTTCTCAGAGCCCAGTCCATTAATCAGACTACAGAAAATGTGAGGACTCGGCTTGCAATTCCTCTGTTCCATCTCATTGAAGAACCTAACAGCTTCATCATACTTTTTCGCCTTGCAATGCGCATTGATAATGATACCGTACGCAACCACATCCGGTTCAAAACCTTCGTCTTTCATCTCTCCGTAAACCTCATTAACTCTCAAAAGATTCAACTCCTGACCCCAACCTTCAAGTAAAATAGTATAAGACTTAATATCAGGCTCAAACCTTTTCTTTTTCATTTTATCGAACACCTTCTGTGCATCCCCAACATTTCTAGATTTGCTCAAAGTATCAAGCATACGATTGAAATCACTTGATTCCATCTTAAACCCATAATCTTCCATCTTATGAAACGCAGCTATAGCTTCTTTAACCTTCCTAGCTCTAGCGTAACGTCTAGAAATGAGAGCAAACGTGTCTTTGCTCAAAAGCTTCTTTTGTTTCATGTCGTCTACAAGATTCCAAATGAGTTTGAATTGCTTGATCTTACCTAATGATTCGATCAATGCATTGTAGTTTGAAGTAGTGTGCTTGAAACCCTTTTGATTCTCTGCCCATTTGAATACAGATAAAGCTAAAACCCCAGCGTTGCTTAGCTTCTTCAGTACTTCTTCGATTAGTGCCGGCGAAAGTTTAACAGAAGCTTCGTTGAGCAAAGTTTCAACATTTGAATCCGTAAATTTGGTCAGAATCTTGCAGATTTTATCAGCGTCTTGTGAAACATCATTTGCAGAAACTTGGGTTTCAACAGAAGAAGCGTGAAATGATCTGTGAACCATCAAAATTGAAGCTTTATTAATCCATGGAAATGATTGGAGACGCAAGCTTGGGGACGAAGAAGAGATTCTTAAGTAGACACGGCGAGAGAGATTCACTCCGGCGAAGCTGAAGAATCGAGCGAAGACCATTGGAGGAAAAAGTTAAGATTTTTGCTTTCAATTGAGAGCACCAATGTTAAGATACAACAGAGGAACAAAAGTTTATCGAATTTGCGAACAAAAAGTTCTCAAGTGGCTTTAACAAAGGAATTACAAAATCTGGGAAAGAGAAAAAAAAAATCTCTCCTTTCTCTTCTCTTTCTCCTCCTCCTCGTATAAATACATCAGCCACTGTGTTGTTGTTGTTGTTGTTGCCCAAAGAATTAACCTTACAGAGACTGAAAACAATGTAATCTCGTGTCGTGTGTCGTATAATCACTTGCATTGATTCGATTGTGAATTCAAATCATCGAGAAAATTCGTTATTGTTTCGTCTAGCTTCTTAGCTTGAGGTCCAGCTTTGACAATGTTGACTTCATCCCATTCTGAGCAAGGATCTGTCCACCAGCTACTGTGGCTCGAGCACCAAGCGCCAGGAGTGACACGGTAACGTCCACGTTTCAGGATCTCTCTATCGACCATGTCGAGAACTGGATCGTCTTTCTTGAACTGTCTGGCGAAAGCTGCTCCGCTTTGAGCCATTTGTTCGAAATCTGATACAGTAAGGAAGTGTGGTTCCATCTTAGGTGGACTGTCCCATATCATGTATCGTAAGTCCCCGTTGACTGTCGTGTTAATGAACTCGGGTGCGTTGCATATCACTGTGTGGAAATAGCATTCTTCAGAGAGAATGACATTGTTAAAATACATCAGAAGGATTCTCGGTAAATTGTCCCAACCGAAGATGCAGTATTCTAGGAAAGATCTGCTTAGTACAATCCAAGGCGAGCCTGCAGTGATATCACAAACCAGCAAACCAAATGCCAATTTGGTTAGAATGAAACTATATACATATAAGGAATGTAACCACAAAAAGTATTATTAGCTACTGAATCTTTTGCCTGTAAAGACTTTAAATGCATCAGGTGTTGGTCGTTTCTCGGTAGCAGTGAATAGCTGAGTTCTTCTAGCTAAGTAAAGTGCTGGATCAACAACAATAGGCTTGATTCTCTGAGCTCTACAGAAAAATCCATTATCATAATAATCCCAACCACATGTACATTTAATCAAAAAACATTGCAAGAAAACTGGCAAAAGTTCTTTACTTACTCTTTCCAAGCAAGGTCACTAGTGTGATCAATAAAATTGAGGCTTCTGTTCACTGAGGCAAACACATGAGATAGGTCTGAGAGAAATCATGAGAGATGAAAATTTATTAGAATCCAGGTCAGATGAAGACAAACACAGAAGCTGTTGAGTAATAAAGTTCTAAAGCAACAATATTTGCCATAAAGAGATCAGTGTCATCATCAATGAAAGTGATTACATTTCTACTTTATTTCCAAAATAAGAGTAGATTGATTCTAGAGTATATCATGAACACTGCAATCTCAAGAAGCTAACAAGCTCAAAAACAAAGATCTAGAGTGCAAATGAATCAAAATCACAAAGCAAACCTAAAGCTAGTTTCTTCTCTAGTTTTCAGATAAAAATAGAAAGAAACAAAATTTAAACATACCATCTTGAGTAATGAGAGGATAATCCAAAGCACTAAGCTCAATAAACCAATTCCAAGTACGATCAAGCTTAAGAAGAATAGAAACAGCGTGAAGAGTAGAAGCAATCTTAGAAGCACCATTCTCAGACAAACGATCAACTTTCCCTAAAACATCAACATTCCCAAAAGCATTCACAGCAGGAACAGATTTCAAATCAGAGAGAAGAGCAAGCCTCTCAGCATCAGTAGCTTCAGCGCCCAGATGGATAAGATACCGATTCCTAGGATGATAAACCGCGAGCAATAACCGAAAGATCCGGTCATTATCTCCACGACCACCGGTTATGTAATAAGCGAAAGCTGGTGGGTAATGAGCACCGTGACGGATTGAAGAAGGGAAAGGTTTAGAGGTAAAAGCAGAGATTGAGTAAAGTAAGAGAAGGAAGACTGAGAGAAATACTACAGAGAAGAGTGTGAAAAGCCATTTCTTTTCAGCTCCCATTGTTCTTCACTTCTTTCTTCTTTCACCTTTGATTTGTTAGAATCTGGCTCCGATTGAGCATATATGTGGATTCACAGATTCAAATCTGTGGTTTTAGAGCTCATAATATGGATCTTTTAGAATGAGATCTCGGTGTGAGTGAGATCGAGCATAGATTGGGATCAGAGCCCGAGGAGATCTCAAGAAGAAGCCAATGATAATTGAAGCAGAGAAAAATGGAGTGGGAGAGAGAGAGAGAGTGAGAAATAAAGATTAGGGTTTGAGAGACGTAACCAAAAAGATTTGGACTTTGGAGGCTTTGAAGAACAAGACAACGAGATTCTCAGGTACAAACTTCGATCTCCGACTCGGGTCGGTTGGGAAAAAAAAAAAAAAACTTTGGCAAACTTTTAATAACTCCATTGTTAACACTTAACAGTAATAGCCAAACTTTCCTCCACCACTTCCTACTTCAAGCGCGTGTTGTACACGCTCTTTTAGACAAAGACAAGACAAGACATTACATAAGAGTCCCTGCGTAAAATAATCACGCGCTTACTACTGAGAGTGAGAGTAAAAGTTAAGGGAGGTGTGGTCGGGTGGTTAACCAGTCGAGGAGAAGATTTACTTTACTAATTAAATAATTAAAGACTGGACAAAGACAGCTTTAAAACACATAAGATTCTGGATTTTTAAAATGGTAAATTGCAACTCCTGAAATAGTAACTAGACCTTATATCATTTATATTTGCTACTTCTTTAGTAGTAAAACAGAATTGTTACCCTTTTGGATTCTTCAACCAATTATTCAGACAGAGTGTCTCAAATATGGAAATATTGTTTGATACAAAGTTGTTGGAGCTGTTTGTTATACGGAGTTGACTTCATCTTCATCGTCACTTCCTCCACTTCCACGGCTACTGCTTCCGCTGCTGCTTTGGCCGCCGCTACCACTTCCGCTGCTTACGCTTTTGCTACGACCATCACTGTCACTTCCGCTGCTGCTTCCACTGCTACTGCTTGAGCTTGAGGTTTGACTCTTTTGCACCTCTGCGTTAACTTGTGCTCTAAGTGCTTCTGCTGCGTTTAGACCTTTTTCTCCTTCACCGCCGCTATCGTCATCTACATCTGCAATCTCTTCTTCCGTGATGCTAAGCTGTTTGTTTAAGCTTTCAACGTACTCTCCTCCATCGGCATTCTCTTTCTCTGCATTGTCGTTCTCTGGTGTAAATGAGCCAAATATTTCAACCAGATCAATCTCGTGATGTTCATCTCCATCATCGTTCTTGTCATCAATCGGTGAGGCAGCAGATACGTTTCCAGCGATGGCAGGTTCAGCTGCAACCACATTTTTCTGTTAGATTTTAAACTGCTACAATAGTTTTAAATCAAAGACCAGAAATACCAAATACATGCTTAGAAACGGTAGAGCGGATCAGTAAACTTGAATCAACAGTTTGATATTCCTGCATAGTCTCATTTGACTACACCAATACAGAACCGAATAATCATAACGCATTGAATACTAATAAGTAGTAGTCGAATTGGGAAGAGAACTGTAGTTTCATTTGGAAATCAGACGTCTATGTACTAGCAACCAAACTCAACCAACTATATCTTATGCCAAAGAGACTAACAAATACTTAAAACTATGATAAGTTTGCCTTGTATTAAGATTGAGTTTTGTTTAAATTACGTAGTGTACCCTATGATCCAAGAATCAAAATCCAGTTCTCAAAAAAAATTGCAATAAGATGGGATTTAAAATGCTAAATCATATGAAATAACTGCTAACCTGAGTTCTCTGGCTTCCCAATTTCGATTCTTTCCACCTCAACCTGCAGACATTACAGAAGAAGAAAACGTAAACAACCAGTAGCAGCAACATTTTATACCGTCAAGCATTCAATAAATCCATAACCTGAACAACATCAAATTGGATAAGGAACAAGTAAAAGACATTTGGAAACTCACAGGCATATCTGGAAGCAAACTTCTATTTACTTGTGGAGATTTGGCAGCACGACCAACAGGAGATAACCGATGCTCCACAGGCACCGCAGCCTGAGAAGAAGCCGCAGCAGATTCACCGGGTGTCCTAAGATGTCGCAGCTGCTTCACAGCTCGATGCAACCTCTCCAAACGAAACTTCTCCCCATCGAAAAACAACACCGCATCGTTTTCTTTGTAATCCTCGCTACTACCTTCAAATGTCACCTTGGGTTTACCAGGTTGGTTATTCTGAAACTCAGCAGAAACTCTGTTATCCTTCTTCTTGTGCAGTGTTCCTGACCTGTTCTTGTCTATTGAAGCCGGCTTGAATTCATCTATAAGTACATAAATATCATTCTGATGAATTCTTTTACAGCATAAACTTAACCAAATTTGAACATTTATCAAATATCTAATTTAGGTCTAATCGCAAAATTAAGAAAGGTCACATAATCGCAAAATCGAAACTCACATCGCAAAGTGCAGAATTTATGGGAGGAATCATCTTTGGCAGAGGAACCAAGGACAAGATCATACCATTGATCTGTCTTCGGGGCGGTACTGGGTTCATCTATGGAGTGATTCGACATCTTCGAAGCTCGATTAACGATTGATCAAGGTGAATCCATCGATCAGGAAGACGAAGATCAAATCGACGCAACGAGATTTCGCGAAACTTGAGGTCTCTCCGATTCTCAAATTGCGGAGGACCCAGAACTGACGCAGCTCACGTAGGGTTTTTCTTTAGGGCAGAGAAGACGAATCCGAGATCAGCAATTTTGGATCCGGTACCCGCCGATTCATGCTTTTTAATCTTATTCACCAATTATGTACGGACGCGTGTCAATAAGTCTGGTGATGGATTCCACGTGGACTTGTTTGGTTTGTGGCAGCTATTTTATTCCCACGTGCGATTACTGATCTTCCCTTTTGTCGTCTTGTTCAGATTTAACATTAAACCGGAAATGACCGGTCATCAGCTGCTAGTGTTCGGTTTGATATTTAATCGATTGACCCATTAATGGGCTTATAATTGGGCTTAATTATGAGGCTTGTGTTGTTGCTAGCCCAATGGATAATCTTTGACAGTATCGTCCAACCACAGATTATCTTCTTCTTCCGTTCGATGTGATAAATATAAAATTTTCAAATCAAGAAGAAACTTCAAGAAACCAAATTATTGCAATCAGTAGATTTAGCGTGGATGATGCATCTGTCCTCGCAATCTTGTCGTCTTCTTCATTGACAAGTTCCATGTGTATTGTATCTCTCCAGGTGTTCTTCTCTCATAGGATTTATTCCTCATTCCCAACCATCTTCTTGATTGTGGTCTAATCAATTTTTGGTGTTCTTCTACTTTCTGATCCAGATTTTTCACTGCTGTGTATAGTTTGTCTCATTCAATTGCTTGGGTTGTGGTTTAAATCCCCAATTTGGTCATTGTCTTGTGTTTTTCTATCGTTGACTTCGAGCTTTACATAGTGAGATCAAGATGTCAGGTTTCGCCGGTGGAAATGTTAATTCTAGGGTTGTGGATATTCTCAGTGGTGTTGTGCCTTTGTTGAAGCTTATCTGTTTAACCGTGATTGGTCTGCTTCTTGCTCATCCCAAGACTCAATTAGTCCCAAGAGCCACGTTTAGGCTCTTAAGCAAGCTTGTGTTTGCTTTGTTCTTGCCTTGTTTGATTTTTACTGAGCTTGGAGAAAGCATTACTCTTGAGAATATTGTTCAATGGTGGTTTATACCGGTCAACGTGTTACTCAGTGCGGTCATTGGGTCCTTGATAGGATACTTGGTTGTTCTCATATGCAGACCTCCTCCAGAGTTTAATAGATTCACCATTGTTATGACTGCTTTTGGAAATACTGGGAATCTTTTGTTAGCTATTGTTAGCTCGGTGTGTCACACGAAGACGAACCCTTTTGGGCCGAGTTGTAATTCGAGAGGAGTTTCGTATGTATCGTTTGCGCAATGGGTTGCTGTGATTCTTGTTTATACTGTTGTGTATCATATGATGGAGCCGCCTTTGGAGTACTATGAGGTTGTTGAGGAAGAAGGGATTGAGATAGAGGAAGTCAATGTGGATAATCATGATGTTAGTAGGCCACTTCTAGTGGTAGCTGAATGGCCAGGGATTGAGGACAAAGAGACCGAACATTGTAAGACCCCGTTCATTGCCAGGGTCTTCAACAGCATATCAAGTGTCTCCCAGGCTTCTTTGCCTGAAGTTGATTTCGGGGGAGAAAATGGAGGAGAGAGTTCCAGTCCTAGATCTATTCAATGCTTGGCTGAGCCGAGAGTAATGAGGAGAATGAGAGTTGTGGCTGAACAGACTCCAGTCAAACACATACTCCAACCTCCAACAATCGCATCTCTATTAGCGATCATTATCGGATCAGTGCCTCAGCTGAAAAGTGTAGTCTTTGGGTATGATGCTCCACTTTCTTTCATCACAGATAGTTTGAATATAATGGGAAGCGCAATGGTTCCCTCTGTGATGCTTGTCCTTGGTGGTATGCTCTCTGAAGGACCAAATGAATCAACTCTTGGATTACGTACTACGATCGGGATAAGTGTTGCAAGACTCCTGGTTCTTCCTTTAGTGGGAATAGGGATTGTGATGTCAGCTGATAAACTTGGTCTCATTTCCTCAGCAGATCCAATGTTCAAGTTTGTGCTTCTTCTGCAGTATTCGACTCCGAGTGCCATTTTACTTGGAGCCATCGCGAGTCTAAGGGGTTACGCGGTTAGAGAAGCCTCGGCACTTCTATTCTGGCAACACATCTTTGCACTGTTGTCTCTTACGTTCTACATTGTCATCTTCTTCAAACTCACGGTTGAGAGTACTGTCCAAGGTATGCCATAAATCTGAAGTATAAAAAAAAAAAAAAAATTCAACTTGTTTTGTAAAGAATGTGATGTTGTCAAATACATTGAATTTCAATTGTGTGTGTTGGTGAATAATAAACCCATTTGCTAACTCAATTGTGTGTTGGTGGAGTATCATTACCAATTCAATGTGAAGTTTTGTACCAAAAATGGCATGAACCGTGCACTTACATGATCTTATTTCCTGGCCTAAATCATCTTTTAAATAGAGCATCATCGTATTCACATGGTTTTGGATGGATTGTGTAATAATATACACGGATTATGTAATATTATAGAATTTTAAAGAAAAGAAATCAAAGATATGGACCGTCATAATATCCAATGGTGGAGAAAGGCTGCTTTCGAGAGATGCGATTGGAATATGCGTGGAACTTACAGAAAAACGTGTTATTTCTTGGAATGTGAATCTTTTAATTATATTTTCAGAGAAAAGATAAATCATTTTGGCTTCCGATTTTATGGAGATGGAAGAAGTTTTGATTATGTTGGCTCCTGATTGGTAACACCAAAATCATAGAGTTAATGATGGTATAAAATTCAAATTTCAAAAACTTAAAAGATAATCTTTTCAGAATTCAGAAATTTCCGTATCTATAAATTTAGCCTAACCTTTTAAAATGGTCTTTACTTGTCCAAAAAAGAACCGTCAAATACGAATACGATTCTAAGTTTTTAGTCCTTTATAATCTCTCACAGATTTGTGCATTCAAATCACAAAGCAAGTCGCGTACAATGGGTTCTGCTTTCGATCCCTTTGTCACGGTCACTGATGAGCCCGCCGTCGTCAACTCGCCGCCGCTTCTCTCAAACCTCACACAAGAAGAACTCAAGAAAATCGCCGCTTATAAAGCCGTCGAATTCGTCGAATCTGGAATGGTAATCGGTCTCGGCACTGGCTCCACCGCTAAACACGCCGTGGCTCGTATCAGCGAGCTTCTCCAAGAAGGAAAACTCAAGGATATTATCGGAATCCCTACTTCAACCACAACGCATGAGCAAGCGGTGTCTTTAGGGATACCATTATCCGATCTAGATTCGCATCCGGTGGTGGATCTATCAATCGATGGCGCCGATGAAGTCGATCCGGCTCTTAATCTAGTGAAAGGACGCGGCGGATCGTTATTGAGAGAGAAGATGATTGAAGGAGCATCTAAAAAGTTCGTTGTGATTGTTGATGAATCGAAGCTTGTGAAGTATATCGGAGGAAGCGGACTCGCTGTTCCGGTGGAGGTTGTTCCGTTCTGTTGTGATTTCACACGAGGGAAATTGGAAGAGCTTTTCAGAGAAGCGGGATGCGTTGCGAAGCTTAGGATGAAGATTGGATCTAACGGCGGAGAGACGACGCCGGCTGTGACGGATAATGGAAATTATGTGGTGGATTTGTATTTGGAGAGAGATATTGGAGATTTAGAGGTGGCGAGTGAGGCGATATTGAGGTTTCCCGGAGTAGTGGAGCATGGGATGTTTCTGGGAATGGCGACGACGTTGATCGTCGCCGGGAAATTCGGTGTAACCGTCAAAGATAGGTTTGGATAAAAGAGTCATTTGAAAAAATTAGGGTTTATGGTTTGATTTTTTATTTTCGATGGATTCTCTGGTTCTGTAAACCCTTTTCTCCTATTGGCTTAGAACTTTGACTTATTTTTAAAAATTTGTAGAATTTTGACTCAATTCCGACTGTTTACTACATTGCCCCTGGAGCTTGTGGTATTTACCAAATTGTCCCGGAATGTTTTTATCTACAAAAAGCCAGGAACTCTTACTATTTTTTAAAATCTCCTTGAACTTCTGATATATACTAATTTGCCCCAAAACTTTTGATATTGAAGAAGTATTACTATTTCTAGTTTTTTCCAGAACTCCTCAGCATGTACTCTGTATTTTTAAGTGTCCCGAAACTTTTAGTAATATTTACCGAGTCTGTCCCAAAATGGCAAAATGTTCGAATTGTGACAATTTCTTAAGGACCCGAATCTGTAGTAAAAATATTACTACTACTTACCAAAGAACCAGGATAATTGTGGAGGCTCTTCAATCTTCATTGGTGTTTCGGGAATATAGATAAAGCTCTAAGAAATTAGCCGTCACTGTCGAATCCATTACGCTTGTCAGCTTGTGTCTTGTGTTACTTACACTTAGACATGTCAATTAGGGCCAAAGCCCGCGGGCTAGCCCGGCCCAGCCCTGAAAAACAGCGAGTTCGGGCTTCAAAATATATGTCCAGAAAAAATCGGACCTTTCGGGCTAAGCCCGTTCGGGCTAAAGGGTTTTTTGGGCTTAGCCCGGCCGGACTCGGGCTAGCCCGAAAAGCCCTTTAAAAAATATTTTGATCTCTTTTTTTTGTTAATATTTTCGTTTAATTGTAAGATTTGTTGTAAAAAAAATTGTTGATAGAGTTGAAAACCCTAAACATAGTTTTTTTGTTATGTATTACTATAAATCGAAAAAGAAAATATTAGCTCTACTACCTAATTTGAATTATTTTGATTTTATATTTTATCTAGTATAATTTTAAACAATTTATTTGGATTATTTATTTGATTTTAACTCTCTCTATTAAAAACTAAATTAGCGTTAGTGGTTATTTAAATTTTGATTGACTCGTTTCATATATAGATTTTTTTTTAAGAGATATTATAAATTATAAGTTTGTTTTTTGTTGTCGGAAGAAAAGCCCGAAAAAGCCTTGTAGCCCTGTTAGGGCCGGGCTGGGCTTTAAAATATAGGCTCGGAATTTTTACGGGCCGGGCCGGGCCGGATTCAAATACATACGGGTTTTGCGGGCTTCGGGCCGGGCCGGGCCGGGTTAGCCCGATTGACATGCCTACTTACACTTGAGCAAGTTGTGGTGTAGTTTCGTGTGTAATGAAATGAGCAAGTGACAAACAAAACGGCATAATGGGCCTTTTCATAGACCAATGGGCTTTTGGTATAAAGTTATTCTCAACTTGCATAAAATGCAATTTGACAACAATCGATATGTTGGCAGCCAAATCTCATCAACAATCGATAATTCGATATATTGCTCAACTTGTTTGGTTTTTTCTTAGATTTTAATAGCACTAGAGAATATTCGTGTAACATTTACAGACTAATACTGAAGAAAATTAAGAAAACCAATTCATAAGTCATCGTAGAACAATGTGAAGAAAATAATTTAAATGGTAATTATTTGTTCTACTAGTCAAGTAATATGAATATTTTAAAAATCCATATAGTCGCGACATCGCCTTCACCTAGATCTTCAAATTCGTTTATATGAAATCAGTTTGGGTAGACAAGATAACAAAAGAAATTGAAAAAATAGACACTTTTAAAATATTTTAATGCAAAGAACACAAATATCATGTTATGGGTTATTTTTGGCACATAGCAAGAAAGATGCATCCTCAATAAAAACAGATCTCACACATTTTGGGTTCACATGATCCTCACACATGCTTCCTCACGCATTTGAACGCCCTTGACTCTATCAAATAAGCCACTCCAATGGCATGTTAATATTTTATGAATCACAACCAAACAAATATCGAACTGGAAACAAATTAGGATCTTACTTTAATGTTAGAAAGGATAACTTTTCATATAAGATATACACTTTTTTCGTATGAAAGATAAATTTAGAGACGTATGTCAAATACCAAACCCACTCATACACATTAAAGTGATTTAGGTATAAAAATTGTAATCAGCTTTTTTGTAATATAGCTCTTTGTTCGTTGTAAGATATCCCAAAATAGTTCTACAAAAATGAAGGCATTGGAGTGGACACTTTAATAGTTTAATTGCCGACGTCAAAAGCAAAGAAAAGAAAAGTTTAATTTCCGTCAATGTGGAGAAAAACGGTGCCGTCAATAGGAAGAGTCTAAAAAGTCTTGAGATCCCATAACCCAAACCGCAAGTCATGGTAAAATTCAAAGTCTAAAAAGCAAAGTCCAAAAGCAAATATTTGTTAAACAATATACTACACAATCAACAATGCCTTTGTGTTCCTGGAAATTACTTGGCAAAAATTATGTATGAAAATTCTCATTCATAACTCTTGAAGGCAACCTACAATAACACTACTCATGTGACATAGAAACGCAATCCATGTGATAAACCATGTCCTAAATTCAATTTTTCAATAAATGATTTGGCCTAAATTAAGAAAATAACCGCTACTTTTTTTTTTTAATCAAACAAACGCGACATATATATCCAACGTATGTAACTCAATCGATATACTAACTGATTTTTTAAAAACTCATGAATTTGAACACCGATGACTTAACTCATTTGCGGGGGTTTTCGAGTTTAGATTCAGAACTTCTTGACCTGAAAAAAAAAAAAACGGGACATATTATTAAAATTGTAATGGCGATATTCAAGTGAAATGTATGGACACAGAAACAATGCATGATTAAGAAGAGAAATAATACAAATTTCTGGCAAAATACACAAAACCCATATTAAAAAAAAAAAAAAAAAACACATGAGTCTTGGATATTAATAGGTCCAATAAAGGGTTGGCTGATTTTTCAGCCCTTAACTATACGCAAACTCAAGGAATCCCCCTATACTTTTTCGCTCTTAAAAAACCACCAACAACTAACAATTTTCTCAATTAAACGACCTCAACTTTCGTATTCAGCTTGATAAATACGCCTCCAATCGAACCGGGCATTAAACCGGGTTTAACCACAAATTCACGTTTACTGTACCGCGATTAGGATTACCCGTATGATTACCCATGACCCGAGAGTTAAAACGACGTCGTTTTCACTCTTCTCTCTATTTCTCAAAACAAAGGCAAAACGACGTCGTTCTCAATATTCTCTCTATTTCTCAAAGTCGCGAATTAGGGTTCACCCATTTCAAAATTAGGGTTCTTGAGAGAAAGGGAAAGGGGATTTTACGATTTTTGGGTTAGGGTTTGGAATTATGTCTGATTGGGTTGGGGATACATCGGAGTATAGGCCGTGGAAGGAATTATTGTATCAAAGTGATCCTGATGATCCTGATTTCGAGCCTCCAGAGAGTGAGAGTGATGTGGTCGACAGTGGAATTGAAAGCGGAGATGAGGGAGATGGCGATGACGATAGTGCTGGAGGAGACGACTCTGACAATGAGAGTGAGAAAGATGGAGGAGACAACGATAGAGAGTGTGACAACAACGATAGAGTCTGTGAGAATGATGGAGACGGTGGCAGAGATCAAATCCGAGGGAAGAGAAAACGACAGGAAGGTGAAGGTGAAGAAGGGCAAAGAGAGAAGAAACCGAAGAGAAAAGAGAGCAAAGATCTGCGTGAAGAAGACATAATGGAGAGGCTTGAGTTCGAGATAGAGGAAGCAGTGGCAAATTGGTTTGATGAGTTTCAGATTCGTCGTGGTGTAATTCCAGAAATTTAGAACCAAATGTTGTGGAAGTGTTGAGGAAGACGAACCCTAAACCCCAAATCGATTTTATATTCAAGAACAACGTTGTTTTGGCTTTGTTTTGAGAAATAAAGAGACGAGTAAAAACGACGTCGTTTTAACTCTCGGGTCATGGGTAATCATACGGGTAATCCTAATCGCGGTACAGTAAACGTGGATTTGTGGTTAAACCCGGTTTAATGGCCGGTTCGATTGGAGGCGTATTTATCAAGCTGAATCCGAAAGTTGAGGTCGTTTAATTGAGAAAATTGTTAGTTGTTGGTGGTTTTTTAAGAGCGAAAAAGTATAGGGGGATTCCTTGAGTTTGCGTATAGTTAAGGGCTGAAAAATCAGCCAACCCTCCAATAAATGTAGACTATGTAGTAGCGTCCCGAATCCGATTAAAGGTCCACGTGGTTAGAGAAGAAACAGCCACTAGAGACACCGAGACGGAGGGAAGGGACGCCACCACCACGTTACGCTTTCAGATCCATCGAGTCAAGTCCCCAAACGGGACCCACTTTTAATCAAAGTGCACAATCAAAATTAATTGAATCTTAATTCTTAAACAACCATGCTTCTAACAGAATAACCAAATCATTAATTGTTGCAAAAATGCTTTAAAAAAAAATGAATTACTCTTTATCTCTCTCAGATTTCTTCCTATATAAACACAATATGCTTTACCAATTGAATACCTAACAATTCCTGTTATACAACTAAATCCATCATCTATATTTGTTTAGTTATCTTTACTCAAATTCATCAATTGAATATAAAGGTGTGCGTGTGAAAACAAGAAAAGTGGAAAAGGACAAAAGAGAGAGAAAAGATACTTCTACGACGTCTCCTAATAAAGCACTCTTCTTCTTTTTCACTTTCCTCATTGAAAAGAGAGAGCCAAATATCAGCTTAAAGCCGTAAGCGTAAGCGCGGGGATAAATCTCTCTTCCTCACCCGCGTTTTCGAGCTTTAACAATGGCTTCTTCTCCGATCTGACCATATCCTGATTTGATTTTTACTCTCTCTCTCATGCCTCGAACTCGTTTCATCCAGTGACTGAGGAAAGAAGAAGAAGATGAACTTCTTTATCCTCTCCGTCGTCGTTTTCGTTGCTTTCGCTTTCTTCTCTCTTCCGCATTCCGTTGATTCATCTGTTGCCGCTTCACAGGATCCTCTCAAACTCATATTAGGTTCCTCCTCTCTCTTCCTGTTTTCTTTTACACGCTGATGCGATTTTTCTGTGTTTTCGATGTTTCGTTTCTAGAAATTTCATCGCGGTTCTAGGTTTCTTATTCTTATAGAATGGTGATGAAGTTTGTTGTGGAATTCTGATTATGTAATTTGGTTTTTGCTACAGGCTCACCGAATTTTGGATCATGGAAAGGTGGAATCTCATTAGCACCAGGACCTTCAGCTGATGATGTAGTCTCTGATTACCTCCTCTTAGCAGCTCATAGAACCAAGAGACCTGACATTCTTAGAGCTTTTAAGCCTTATCATGGTGGCTGGAACATCACTAATAATCACTATTGGGCTGTGAGTCTCCTCTTCTCTTTGTCGTCGTCTCCGATTTTCTTTAGGATCTGTTAGTAATGGCCATCTGTTTGCAGTCTGTTGGATTTACAGGTGCTCCTGGTTTCATTCTAGCTGTTATCTGGCTCTTGTCTTTTGGCTCTCTTCTTGTTGTGTATCATTGCTTCAAATGGAGAGTGTGTGTTAAAGCTAAAGGATCATCATTCGATACACGAAGATTCTGTTTCATTTTGTTGATAGTGTTTACTTGTGTTGCAGCGTAATATTCTCAACTCTCTCATATCGTTTTTGGTTCTGTGTCATTTGATTTTGTTGTTCCTGAGATTGTATTGGTCTTTTGCAGGGTGGGATGTATTCTTTTATCTGTTGGACAGGATAAGTTTCATACTGAAGCTATGCGTACTCTTAAGTATGTGGTAAACCAGTCTGACTACACTGTGGAGATCCTCCAGAATGTGACTCAATATCTGTCCCTCGCAAAAACGATTAATGTGACAGAGATTTACATTCCGCCAAATGTAATGGATGAAATTGACAAGTTAAATGTCAATCTGAACACTGCAGCAGTAACATTGGGAGAGAAAACACCAGATACTGCTGCTAAGATAAAGAGAGTTTTCTATGCTGTGTAAGTTGCCCTGTATTGTGAGCTGAACGGTACCAATTTATGTTTAACAGAGAACAAAGTGTTGTTACTAACTCTGTATGTGCACATTTTCAGGCGATCAGCTTTGATCACGGTCGCTACTGTGATGCTCATCCTTTCTTTTGTAGGTCTATGTAAGTCCAGTTTATGTTTATATGGTTCTTTGTTATTTCCTTTTGATTAGCTGTGACATCCACTTCAGTTGAACTTTTTATCTGTTATTTGCGTTATTACAGTGCTTTCTGTCCTCCGCCACCAACATGTTGTTCATATGTGAGCCCTTTAAAGTCCAACATCTTCATTTTCTTTAATTTCTAGTGGTTTAAGATAAATGGTAACCTGACTGATGGGGATATATATGATGATAGATTCGTCGTGAGTGGGTGGATACTGGTTGCTGTGACATTTGTTCTCTGTGGAGTTTTTCTGATCCTAAACAAGTAAGGTTTTGCTGTTCGATTGTTTGTTTTCCCTTGCCTTATTAAGTCGACTCGCAAATGTAGATGACTAAATGTCATTGGTTTGGTGTCCAGTGCAATTTCAGATACGTGTGTAGCCATGAAGGAATGGGTTGATCATCCTCACGCTGAAACAGCTCTCAGCAGCATCCTCCCATGCGTTGATCAGCAAACAACCAACCAGACTCTTGCACAGAGTAAAGTTGTCATCAACAGCATCGTGACCGTTGTAAACACCTTTGTCTATGCTGTTGCCAATACAAACCCATCTCCAGGTCAAGACCGCTATTACAATCAGTCTGGACCTCCGATGCCTCCTTTGTGCATCCCATTTGATGCAAACATGGAAGATCGCCAGTGCTCGCCTTGGGAATTATCAATAGAAAATGCATCCACGGTACTATCCAACTCACCTATCTTTGTATATCTTAAACAAAACACCACCAGGTCTAAGACATGTCTTAATAAACTTTTCTTTTCAGGTCTGGGAGAATTACAAATGCGAGGTTACACCATCCGGAGTCTGCACCACCGTGGGGAGAGTAACGCCAGACACCTTTGGACAGTTGGTAGCAGCTGTGAATGAGAGCTACGCTCTCGAGCATTACACGCCTCCGTTGCTTAGCTTCCGAGATTGTAACTTTGTTAGAGAAACATTTATGAGTATTACCTCAGATTACTGTCCACCACTGGAGCGTAATCTGAGGATTGTGACCGCAGGACTCGGACTGATATCTGTGGGAGTGTTACTATGTCTGGTGCTGTGGATATTCTATGCGAACCGCCCCCAAAGGGAGGAAGTGTTTGCGGATCCACGCCCTCAAATAAAAGATGGTAGCGTTGGTAACGGCTTGGATAATCATCACTCAGATGACGAAACTAAGCTTTCTGTAGAATGCGTATAGTATACAGGTATAGATAAATAGAATCAGATGTTGTATTTCATAAAGATATGAAAGAGAACAATAAACACATTTTGTAGCGTTCATGTTAACATTAGAAGAAGAGGAAGAGACTAGAAGTGGAGCAAAGTTTCACTTCTGGCTTTTGTTTTCACAATGATTTAGGGTCTTAATTCAGACACAAAATCACCATGAATGATATATTACAAACTACTAAGCAGAATGAAGTTTTAAAATGCGATGTTGGTGGTGGCAAGAGCCATGAGATTAAACGGTCTGATATGGTTTTTGTTTCCGTTCCATAAAGCTTTTGACATGAGATGGTAAGTGCGTTCTGTGGGATGATAAAAATCCCAAAACAAAAACTCATTTGGGTTATTGCAAATTTTGTATCCTTCTCTTCCACATTGCATCAATCCACCCAGTGTCCCGTTCCCACAACACGCGTTCGATACATCCGTAAACCCTTTACCAAAAACATGATTCAGCTTTCTGATAGACACACTTGGAAAAAGTATCAATATACAAAGTTAGTCAACTATATTGAGTTTACCGTAACGGGCAGGGTTGGTTTGGAATCTGTGAGTTATACCATACACAGCTCCAAACACCGCAATGGCTCCGGGGTACTTAGTGGGTATTATGTTCACAATCTCTTCAAGTCTTGTATTATAAATCTTGGCCATAACATTCATCTTACCGAAGCATTTATTAGTTGGGGCATTAGGAAGCATGGCTCTTGCAGGGACACATCCCACAGGACCTAAGGAGAAGAAAGCGATGCGGCGTGCACCTAGTTTGTAGATCTGATCAATCGTTTTGTTCACTTGGTCTAACATTGTGTTCACATAGGCGTCTGGAGAAAGTGTAGGAGTTTGGAATGGGAGGAAGTAGTTGAAAATGTCGTTGGAACCAGTTTCCAATAAGAAGAGAGACTCTTGGATTATAGATTTTTCGATAAGGTTCTGCTCTACAAGTGTCTGGAATTGTTGTAGCTGGTTTTGGATCGGTGTCACGCCCTACAATATTTGTTGTGTACTTAACGAGTGATTCACAAGAAACAAACATTTTATTTGGTAAAAGCGAGATATTTACCATAAATTTGTTGGTATCAAACAAGAGACCACTACCAGCACTAGCAAAATTAATGCCATTTGAAAAGTTTGAAGTTCCATTCAGGATTTGAATCTGCAATTCCAAGAATGGTTTCTGTAGTGGAAGGCCTACAAATTGCGCTGCAATTATTAGGTCAAAGAAAAAGAAAAAAGAGTAAGGTTCCTTGCACAAGAAGAAACCAAATCTTGAAAAATGTATTAGCTAACTAGATGTGGTGATTTGTTACAGATGAAGTCAGCGACGGTTCTTCCGTTGGTGAACCTCCCCGTAGGACGGTGGAAAAAGGAAGAACCATAAGGAGGAAAATCAGCCTGAGCTGTACAGTTTTTGTTGTAATGGTTGTTTCCGGCGTCAAAAATTGAGTCACCGAAGGTGAAGATAGCAGGGACGGTGGAAGAAGACTTTGCCAGAGCAACCGGAGAGATTAGAAGAAGCAGAAACATGAGTAAGTCCATTGAAGAAGAAGACATGGAACAAATGAGGTTATAACCATATAAACGAGATTAAATAGTGACATATAGTATATATACCAAATTGACACGGAAGGCAAGAAGAGCATTGTTCATGTTTCTGCACCACCCTATTCTTATGTGTGACTAAAGTTTCAAACTTATTCCTAAATTCCTGCATCTTATTACATAGATCAGGGAAAAAGAGTAAAGCATTTTTACCTTTAGATGGGCTTCCACCTCCGAGGCCCATACGGCCCAATTCAATGGTAATATAGGATTGGTTAGAAAAAAAGAAGAAGTAAATAAGTAAAAAATGAAAGCATCAGAAAAAGGAGATTCTGAAAGAATAAAAACATATTCTGTGAGAATATTTTCCCAAATTCCCAATTGGAGAGAGCCTTCTCTCTCCCAAATGCCTTCCTTTTTAGAGGAAACGGAGACGAAACCCTAATTTCCCCAAATTCATTACTCTTTAAGATATCATGAAGCGTATTATCAGAATCTCATTCACCGACGCAGAAGCCACCGATTCTTCTAGCGACGAAGACACAGAGGAACGTGTAGGAGCTTCCCAGACTCGCCGCCGTGGAAAACGCCTCGTTAAAGAGATCGTAATCGATCCTTCCGATAAACTCGATGTCTGCAAGACACGGTTCAAAATCAGGATTCCGGCGGAATTTCTCAAGACGGCGACGGAGAATGTGAGGAAGAAGAAATTCCGTGGAGTGAGGCAGAGACCGTGGGGGAAGTGGGTGGCGGAGATTAGATGTGGCGGAGGAGCTTGTAAGGGACGACGTGGTCGTCTTTGGCTGGGAACTTTTAACACCGCCGAGGAAGCAGCTCTTGCTTATGATAACGCCGCGATTCAGCTGATTGGACCTCACGCGCCGACCAATTTTGGTTTTCCGGCGGAGAATCAAGAGGATAAGTCGGTTGTTGGAGCTTCTGACGTTGCTAGAGGCGCGTGATTTAGTTGTTAGCAAGAAGGTCTCTGTCTCTTGTATCGTCTTTGTAAATTCATCTTCTGATGTTGTTGTTGTTTATGATCTTGATGTCCTTCGTCTCTGTATATATTTTGGCACTATGGACGAAAATTAACTCTTTCTAGAATTTGAATAGTGAGATTGTTGGTGAATTTTGAAATTGGTGAATTATAAAGGAAGATTGATGATAAATTTGACTAAAATCCGCGACGATTTTGATTTACGCACAAATGGAAGAATTTTGGTATGTTTGTTTTTGAATTTTGAAACGTTTAGGCATTGACCGTTGTTCATATTGAAAAATTGGACGGTTATGTTTTGATTCAGAAATGGTAAAGTAGACACTTGCGAAAGGAGTTTTTAAAACAAGGTACACGTCTGATTGGGTCTCGATTATGGACTACATCTCAACATCTCAGCCAAATCGTGTGGAGCAATACCTTCATCGTTACGTTTTCCAAGCAGTTGTCTATACCGTGTGGAGAGAAAGAAATAGCCGGCGACATGGTGAACAACCAAACTCAGCCGCTCAACTGATCGAATGGACTGATAAGCACATCCGGAATCAGCTATCTTTTATCAGACTAATGGGGGATAGGCGCTACGACGAGGGACTCCAGCTTTGGTTCAAATCTAGAAATTGATCATGTTAAATCTTTGAATATTTTCAAACCTTAAGTTCTTTCAAACACTCGCCGCACTTGATGTAAAAACGTTTATTTTTTCTTTTAAATATAATTTAACATTACATTCAAAAAAAAGTAGACGACACTTACTAAACAAACATTATCAATGTTTAAGGAAAATAGACGGTTGGGGTTGAAATACACTATTTTCCTTAAACATTAATTGATAATGTTTGTTTAATAAGTGTCTATTTTACCATTTCTGAATCAAAACATAACCGAACAGAATTCTTAGCAACTTGAACCTTAATGACTTGGATCAGAGTTATAATTTGTCTTTGGTTCTTTTTATATCTTTCCATCTTTTGGTTCTTGTGTCACGGTATCAACGTTACATTTTACACTTTGGGAAAAGCTGTTACTAGTGGCTGTTTTTACCTAAAAAGATGCTATTAAAAGTTTTGAGTCCAAAAGAAACGCTCTTTTTTGGACGCTAAATTCCAATGAAAATTTACTTTAAACTTGATGGAGGGAAAGAAAACGTTTAAAAAGCAAACAATTATCGAAAAACAGTGAGAAAACACGAGGAGTGGATTAAAAAATTTAATTGGTTCACAACTTCACATGATAAACGGTAGGTTTTTTTAAAAAAATTTGACGCCTTGTAGAGAAAGAAACAACTATATGTTAAAGATTCCGATTGATAAAAATCTCGTGATCTCAGGGGAAGAAGAAGAAGAAGCAGAGAGAATGGATTCGGCGGAGAACGACGGAGAACAAGTAAACACGAAATATGGTTTTTTACGGGAGATGAAGAAACTTAGTTACATCGCCGGTCCGATGATTGCGGTGAGCTCGTCTATGTATGTTCTTCAGGTGATATCGATAATGATGGTTGGTCATCTCGGTGAGCTTTTCCTCTCTAGCACCGCAATTGCCGTTTCTTTCTGCGGCGTCACCGGTTTAAGCGTCGTCGTATGTCTCTTTCTTGATTTCCATGTCTCTTTTTCTTCCTTTAATTAGCTCAAGATTCTAAAATTGTGGCTGTGGTAATCACACAGTTTGGATTGGCTAGTGCATTGGAGACTTTGTGTGGTCAAGCTCATGGAGCTAAGCAATTCGAGAAGCTTGGTTATCATACTTACACAGGGATTGTCTCTTTGTTTCTTGTGTGTATTCCTTTGTCTGTGCTATGGAGTTACATGGGTGATATACTCTCTGCCATTGGACAAGATCCTCATGTTTCTCAACAAGCAGGGAAGTTTGCAACTTGGCTCATACCCGCGCTCTTTGGTTACGCTACTTTGCAGCCGCTTGTTCGGTTTTTCCAAGCGCAGAGTCTGATTTTGCCTTTGATTATGAGCTCAGTCTCTTCTCTCTGTGTCCACGTTGTCCTCTGTTGGAGCTTGGTCTTTAAGTTTGGTCTTGGGAGCGTCGGTGCAGCTATTGCGCTTGACGTTTCTTACTGGCTAAACGTGATTGTTCTTGGATTATACATGACGTTTTCTTCCAGCTGTAGCAAGTGCCGTGCAACTATTTCCATGAGTGTGTTTAAAGGAATGGGAGAGTTTTTCCGGTTTGGAATCCCATCTGCCCTTATGATTTGGTATATAAACTTCTCTTCATGCCTCTTTTGGTTTAGTCACAGAGTTGTTGAAATTTGACTTGGCTTGAATCTTTGTGGTGTTGGATTAGCCTCGAGTGGTGGTCATTCGAAATTCTGCTCTTACTCTCTGGGATCTTACCAAATCCAAAGCTAGAAGCCTCTGTTCTCTCAATCTGGTATGTTCTTCTAAAGATTTTGTTTTGGAATGGCTATTGTCATATATAACTCAGTTGCTTTCATTCTTGTTTTCAACAGTCTATCAACAATCAACATCGTGTACCAAATAGCAGCTAGTCTCGGCGCAGCAGCAAGGTTCTTTCTTGCTCAATTTCCCAATTTGGCAACATATCTAACTAATATATCTCTCTGTTGTTATTGTTGACTTGTTGTTGCAGTACAAGAGTTGCAAACGAATTAGGAGCTGGAAAACCGAAACAAGCTCGAATGGCGGTTTACACAGTGATGGTCATTACAGGTGTAGAATCAATAATGGTGAGCGCAATAGTTTTTAGTGCAAGAAACGTTTATGGTTACCTATTCAGCTCTGAAACCGAAGTTGTGGATTATGAAAGATCAATGGTTCCATTGGTTGCTTTATCGGTCATATTCGATGCTTTTCACGCAGTTCTTGCGGGTTAGATTCTTCTCTAGCTCCTTCAATAATGTCAAAGTCATGAATGAAGTTAATGATTAATACTGTGTTATTGGTGGAACTGCATTTGCAGGTGTGACTAGAGGATCAGGGAGGCAAGATATTGGGGCTTACGTAAACCTAGCAGCATACTATCTCTTTGGAATACCAACTGCTATAATATTAGCTTTTAGGTTTAAAATGAGAGGAAGAGGAATCTGGATTGGGATCACAGTTGGCTCCTTTGTGCAAGCTGTTTTGCTCGGTTTTATCGTCATCCTCACCAAGTGGACACAGCAGGTAAGTAAAGTGAGGGTGATGTCCTTTTAATTCCTTGTTTTTAGGGTTTAGTATTGAGAGAAAAAATGATTAGTGGATATGAGAAAGTGAAAGTGATGTTTATACATATGTATTGAATCATATGAGCAGGCCAGAAATGCGAGAGAAAGACTGATGGGTGAGGGGTTTGAAGATAAAGAAAGTGAAGATCATGAAGAGATCAGCTAAACCAAGAGACTTCATACACATGATATATGATCTTCCATAATAGTAATGTTGTTTTCGATAATAGTAATGACTAAAGAGGATATGTGTGTTCACATGTTCGTGCACATGAGTTTTGGCCTCTATTGTCTCTCCATATTATATGATCTTGTCTCTTATATGGGGAAGATAATCATTAATTATATGATATTGAGCAAAGTTTTAAAAAAGTTATTAAGAGAATTCTAAGGATTGCTAATAAGAAATATGACGAGTACACAACTAGGAACTTGTAGATACACAAAACCTTACTTTTGTCATAATGGCATGTCGCAGTTGTGATCTCTAGTACTCCTCTATGTCGTCTGCTAACTATCTGGTCCTAGTCCAGAGAGCTTAGACCATCTCCGAAAAGGGATTTAAACTGGGGTTCTAAGATTTAATTCAACCCTAAGAGACGCTGACGTGTCAGCCGCTGAGCGCTTCCTACATTATCGCAGTTTGTGTTGGAGATACAATCCAAGTCCCACATCGGAAGTTTGATGGGACAATCAATAATATATAAAGGGTTAGGGCCAATCCACTAATTGCCAATTGGTTTTTAGTTGCAAGCCTAGAATTAGCCCAAATTTAACATGGTATCAGAGCCCAAGGTTCAAATTCTGGTGGACCTAGAAAAGTGGATACGGACATACCTCAAACCCGAGTAATGGGGGCCCGAGAAAGGGGCTTATTATCGGTCCGAGTGAGGGATCGAGGAGGTGTGTTAAGATCCATGTGGTCCTTGGATTGAAGGGGAGATTGTTGGAGATACAATCCAAGTCCCACATCGGAAGTTTGATGGGACAATCAATAATATATAAAGGGTTAGGGTCAATCCACTAATTGCCAATTGGTTTTTAGTTGCAAGCCCAGAATTAGCCCAAATTTAACAGTTTGATGGTATCAATGGTCTTCAAATGTTTGGTTTCTTCTTACCCTCTATAGTTCAGGTAACAAATCTAAATCCAAGCCTTGTTCTTCTTCATTCAAAACCTATCCATGATGTTAACTTAATCCTCCTCTACAGGCCATTGAAGTTGTTGACGCAAACCATCGACTCGTTGAATACTGGAGAACCACAAGAACCAAACTACATCAGACTCAAAAGATCAATTCATATCATCAAACATGTTCCGTAAGTTTAACCCAAGGACGGAGACTATCAGCTAAAGCAGTATCTTCGTTACCAAAATCGCCGTAACGTGAGAAATCAAGCGACGAAGCAGCAGCACACACCAAGAATCATTTGACATGGCAACATGGTCCAATGACCAAGATCATTTTCATCCTTTATCATGTCTTGTGATCATAGCTTGTGTTTCTGCTGTGTATTGATTTGTGACCTTAATTCAATACTATCGAACTTTTTCTTCATTACTATGGCAACATGGTCCGATGAGGCGATGACTAAAATGTTGATATTTGAAAATATTAAATGGAGGAAAAAATACATATGATACAAAAATACCAAATTTTTATGTTCATACACTCAAATGTTCTTTCATGTTCATACATTTTGGGGCTGTTTACACCTAAGATGCTTTTTAAAAAGTTTGAATCGGTTAAAGCAAAAGAAAGCTTTTTTTTTTTGTTTGTGTTTGTAGGAGTAGCATGATACAATAGGCAACGACGCTAAATTCCAAATGAAAATTTACTTTAAACTTTGATGGAGGGAAAGAAAACGTTCAAAAGAGCAAACAATTATCGAAAAACAGTGAGAAAACACGAGGAGTGGATTAAAATTTTAGATTCGCTGACAACTTCACATGATAAACGGAAGCATTTTTTAAAAAACATTTTAGTGCCTTGTAGAGAAAGAAACAACCATATGTCACTATATAATCCCCGTGATCTTAGGGGAAGAAGAAGCAGAGAGAATGGATTCGGTGGAGAAGGGATTGCTTGTGGTTAACGACGGAGAACAAGTAAACACGAAAGATGTTTTTTTACGGGAGATGAAGAAACTTAGTTACATTGCCGGTCCGATGATTGCGGTGCACTCGTCTATGTATGTTCTTCAGGTGATCTCGATAATGATGGTTGGTCATCTCGGTGAGCTTTTCCTCTCTAGCACCGCCATTGCTGTTTCTTTCTGCGGCGTCACTGGTTTCAGCGTCGTCGTATGTCTCTTTCTTGATCGCTATCTCTCTCTTTATTTACGTTAATTAGCTCAAGATTCTAAATTGTTAATCACACAGTTTGGATTGGCTAGTGCATTGGAGACTTTGTGTGGTCAAGCTCATGGAGCTAAGCAATTCGAGAAGCTTGGTTATCATACTTACACAGGGATTGTCTCTTTGTTTCTTGTGTGTATTCCTTTGTCTGTGCTATGGAGTTACATGGGTGATATACTTTCTCTTATTGGACAAGATCCTATGGTTGCTCAACAAGCAGGAAAGTATGCAACTTGGCTCATACCCGCGCTCTTTGGTTACGCTACTTTGCAGCCGCTTGTTCGGTTTTTCCAAGCGCAGAGTCTGATTTTGCCTTTGATTATGAGCTCAGTCTCTTCTCTCTGTGTCCACGTTGTCCTCTGTTGGAGCTTGGTCTTTAAGTTTGGTCTTGGAAGCCTCGGTGCAGCTATTGCGATCGGCGTTTCTTACTGGTTGAACGTGACTGTTCTTGGATTATACATGACGTTTTCTTCCAGCTGTAGCAAGAGCCGTGCAACTATCTCCATGAGTTTGTTTAAAGGAATGAGAGAGTTTTTCCGGTTTGGAATCCCATCTGCGTCTATGATTTGGTATATCAACTTCACTTCATGCCTCTTTTGGTTTAGTCATAGAGTTGTTGACATGAATCTCTTTGGTGTTGTTGGATTAGCCTCGAGTGGTGGTCATTCGAAATTCTGCTCTTACTCTCTGGGATCTTACCAAATCCAAAGCTAGAAGCCTCTGTTCTCTCAATCTGGTACGTTCTTTTCACCTTCTATAGGAATGGACTATTATCATATACAACTCAGTTGCTTTCATTCTTGTTTAACAGTCTATCAACAATCAACATCATGTACCAAATAGCAGATAGTCTCGCCGCCGCAGCAAGGTTCTTTCTTGCTCAATTTCCCAATCTTGTAACATGGGAGCTATCTATCTAAAATATCTCTCTGTTGTTGTTGTTGCAGTACAAGAGTTGCAAACGAATTAGGAGCTGGAAAACCAAAACAAGCTCGAATGGCGGTTTACACAGTGATGGTCATTACAGGTGTAGAATCAATAATGGTGAGCGCAATAGTTTTTAGTGCAAGAAACGTTTATGGTTACCTATTCAGCTCTGAAACCGAAGTAGTGGTTTATGTAAGATCAATGGCTCCATTGGTTGCTTTATCGGTCATATTCGATGCTCTTCACGCAGTTCTTGCGGGTGAGATTCTTCTCTAGCTCCTTCAATAATATCAAAGTCATGAATGAAGTTAATGATTAATACTGTGTTATTGGTGGAACTGAAATTGCAGGTGTGGCTAGAGGATCAGGGAGGCAAGATATTGGGGCTTACGTAAACCTAGCAGCATACTATCTCTTTGGAATACCAACTGCTATAATATTAGCTTTTAGGTTTAAAATGAGAGGAAGAGGAATCTGGATTGGGATCACAGTTGGGTCCTTTGTGCAAGCTGTTTTGCTCGGTTTTATCGTCATCCTCACCAACTGGAAACAGCAAGTAAGTAAAGTGAACGTGATGTCCTTTTAAATTCTTGTTGATTAGTGGATATGAGAAAGTGAAAGTGATGTTTATTCATATGTATTGAATCATATGGGCAGGCGAGAAATGCGAGAGAAAGACTAATGGGTGAGAGGTTTGAAGATAAAGAAAGTGAAGATCATGAAGAGATCAGCTAAACCAAGAGACTTCATTGACATGATATATATGATCTTCTATAATAGTAATGACTAAAGAGGAAATGAATGTTCACATGTACGTACGTGCACATGAGTTTTTGGCCTCTACTGTCTCTCCATACACATGATATGATCTTCTCGCTTATAGAAGGAAGATAATCATTAGTCATATGATATTGTGCAAAGTTTTAAAAACGTTATTAAGAGAATTCTAAGGATTGCTCATAATAAATATGACGAGAGTACACAATTAGGAACTTGTAGATTCACAAAACCTTACTTTTGTCAGAATGGTATGTTAGCTGTTGTGAGTGGGTTAAAAAAAAGCAAACAAATATGGATTTGAAGATAAAAATTTGATTGGTTCACAAACTTCTCATGATAAACAAGTAGTTTTTATCTATTTATTTATTCATTTGATACCTTGATGAGGAAGTAACAACAACATATTCAAATAGAATCAACAATGAAATTAATTGATTGTAACAGATCGCTTGACTAATTAAAAAACTAAGATTTTAATATTTCAATACGATTTGCATATGAAGTTTTTTTTTTTTTTTTTTTTTTTTTTTTTTTTTTTTTTAACAAAGACTTTTCTTAATTTGCTATAATCAGTGAGCCATTAGAAGAGAGAATTTATGGCGGCTGAATGAGAAAGGACGACGCATGTATCTGTATCTGGAGGTGTAGAATCAAAATACGACACTCCGCTAAATTCCACAGAGAAGATAATCATAAAATATTAGTATAAAAAGAGTATTGGATTGATTCGGAGAAAGATTCCGATTGAAACAGATCTCAGGGAAGAAGAAGAAGAAGAAGCAGAGAGAATGGATTCGGCGGAGAAGGGCTTGCTTGTTGTGAGCCACGGAGAAGAAGTAAACAAGAAAGATGGGTTTTTGCGGGAGATGAAGAGGCTTGGTTACATCGCCGGTCCCATGATTGCTGTGAACTCGTCTATGTATGTTCTTCAGGTGATATCGATAATGATGGTTGGTCATCTTGGTGAGCTTTTCCTCTCTAGCACCGCCATTGCTGTTTCTTTCTGCAGCGTCACCGGTTTCAGCGTCGTGGTCTGTCTCTTTCTTGATCTTTCTCTTTTCTTTGATTAGTTTAAGATTCTAAAGTGTGACTGAGGTAATTAATCACACAGTTTGGATTGGCTAGTGCATTGGAGACTTTATGTGGTCAAGCTCACGGAGCTAAGCAATTCGAGAAGCTTGGTGTTCATACTTACACAGGGATTGTCTCTTTGTTTATTGTGTGTATTCCTTTGTCTGTGCTATGGAGTTACATGGGTGATATACTTTCTCTTATTGGACAAGATCCTATGGTTGCTCAACAAGCAGGAAAGTTTGCAACTTGGCTCATACCCGCGCTCTTTGGTTACGCTACTTTGCAGCCGCTTGTTCGGTTTTTCCAAGCGCAGAGTTTGATTTTGCCTTTGATTATGAGCTCAGTCTCTTCTCTCTGTGTCCACGTTGTCCTCTGTTGGAGCTTGGTCTTTAAGTTTGGTCTTGGGAGCGTCGGTGCAGCTATTGCGATCGGTGTTTCTTACTGGCTAAACGTGATTGTTCTTGGATTATACATGACGTTTTCTTCCAGCTGTAGCAAGAGCCGTGCAACTATCTCCATGAGTTTGTTTGAAGGAATGGGAGAGTTTTTCCGGTTTGGAATCCCATCTGCGTCTATGATTTGGTATATCCACTTCTCTTCATGCCTCTTTTGGTTTAGTCACAGAGAGTTGTTGTAATTTGACTTGGCTTGAATCTCTTTGGTGTTGTTGGATTAGCCTCGAGTGGTGGTCATTCGAATTTTTGGTCCTGCTCTCTGGGATTCTACCAAATCCGAAGCTAGAAGCCTCTGTTCTCTCAGTCTGGTATGTTTCCTTAATCTTCTAAAGACTTGGTTTTGAAATGGAATATTATCATACAAATCAGTTGTTTTCATTCTTGTTTTAACAGTCTTTCAACACAAGCCTCCTTGTATCAAGTCCCAGAGAGTCTCGGCGCAGCAGCAAGGTATTTTCCGTCTATTTTATTTTTTGATTTTGCAAATTGGGAGCTATCTATCTAAAACCTGAAACCGCCTCTTTGTTGTTGTTGTTGCAGTACAAGAGTTGCAAACGAGTTAGGAGCTGGAAACCCGAAACAAGCCCGAATGGCGGTTTACACAGTAATGGTTATAACAGGTGTAGAATCAATAATGGTGGGTTCAATAGTCTTTGGTGCAAGAAATGTATTTGGTTACCTATTCAGCTCTGAAACTGAAGTTGTAGATTATGTAAAAACAATGGCTCCACTGGTTTCTTTATCGGTCATATTCGATGCCCTTCACGCAGTTCTCTCCGGTTAGATGACCTCCTTCTATAATGTTTTAAGTCATAAAGAGATCTATTTCAATGAAGTTAAGGGTTATAAAATGTGTTTATTGAAATTGCAGGTGTGGCTAGAGGATCAGGGAGGCAAGATATTGGGGCTTACGTAAACCTAGCAGCATACTATCTCTTTGGGATACCAACTGCTATTATATTAGCTTTTGGGTTTAAAATGAGAGGAAGAGGACTCTGGATTGGGATCACAGTTGGATCCTTTGTACAAGCTGTTTTGCTCGGTCTTATCGTCATCCTTACTAATTGGAAAAAACAGGTTAGTAAAGTGAAAGTGATGTTCTTTTAATAGGTTGATTTTTGTTATGGTCAATTGAATTGATTAGTGGGTTTAGGAAAGTGAAAGTGATGTTTATTGATATGTATTGAATGATATGGGCAGGCGAGAAAGGCTAGAGAAAGAGTGATGGGTGATGAGTATGAAGAGAAAGAAAGTGAAGAACATGAATAGATCAGCTAAATCAAAGAGTTTCCATCACCATTAATCCATTAAATGTTGTGTTTTTATTAGTTCGATGTTTGGTGTTGTTGTTTTCAAGTATAGTAATGAAGAATTGATTGTTCACATGAGTTTTGGCCTCTTCTTTCTTTCCATACACATGATTGATCTTCTCTAGTTTTGGGCATTTTGGCCTCTTCTTTGTTATGGCCTTTTTCAGGGCCGGCTCAACTAATTTGGAGTCCCTGTACAAATCTTAAAAATTGGCCTTTTTCATACAAAAAAAATAAAAATTGGGCCTTTTCATGTTAAAAAAATCTTAAAAATTAGTGTTTTTCATACTAAAAAAAAAATTTGAACCCTTAAATTTACTCCAAAAAAATTGGGTCCTGTACATTTGCTCCTCTTGCGCACCCCAAACGCCCCTCCTTTTTTATATTCACCAAATTGAGTAGGAGGAATTTAAAACTGGAGGCAAATATATATGAAGGGTATCTTAGGAATAAATAATATTGTAGAAAGAGACGTGAAAAAACGGCCCTCTTTACGTATAAACGACGTCGTTCATGGAATTGTAGAAATACGAAAGTGTTTGCTGACAGCAACAAAACCCTAACGTAGGAAATTAGAACTTAAGGATTTTACGACTTGAGGCGTCGAGAGGTGAAGGAAGACGGAGATGGCGAAACCAAAGAGAGACGAATTGAATCAAATCCTTACTAGTTACCACAACACCATCAACGATACTCTCCAGGTTTTTTTTTTTTAAAATTTCACCCCTTTTTAATTTGTGTGTTGGTGATGGAATTTGAATTTTGGTGACGGGTTTTGGTGATTTTTTGCAGTTGTTTGAGCAAGTTCCGTCTCCGACACAAGACAAATTAAGCTGGAACGATGTCCTTCAGATTTCTGATCATCTCTCCAAACAAGCTACTATAGGTTTTGTTCTTTTGCCAGTTGCTGTCTTTTTGTTAAAGAAAAACAAATTCTTCAAATTTTTTTTTTTTTGGATTAATTTCATTAGTGGGAATGCTATGGACTGGAGAACCTCCAAAATCTGAAGCAATGAAGGAAACTATGGAGGCATACTTCAACGCGCTTCAAGGATTTTTGCTGCATTGTCATGGAAGCATGGTTGGTGCTGGGACTACACTTTCTTCATCCATACACGCCTCTGTGAAGCAGATTGTTGATTCCAGCTTCAGATTGTTGCAGGGTTCTGTATCCCTATACGGTAAGAAGATTCTATGTTATTCTGCTTGTTAATTAAGAAGATTACTCAACTGTGTATGAATTTTGTGGTGTTTCTGTAACTTGGAAACAGAGGGATCATATGAGAATGGAAGGAAGCCGTCGATTCCGCAGCTTGCTGGAGCAGTGTGGGAGGCATGTTCCAATTTAAAGAAGGTACCTGAAACAAACATCAAAGCGATTGGAAGGGCGATGGCACATGTAGCTGTTTCAATGAAGGATGTTCTTAGGGAGATGAAAGAACTGAAGCCAGCTTGTTCTTCACCCGAGCTTGATGCTTCTGAAAACGAGACTCAAATCTCAGATGAAGATGATGATGATGATGACTTAGGCGATGACTTGTCTCCTGAAGAATTTGAAGTTGCTAAAATGGTAGTAGAAATTGTGTCTGAGACGCTCGTGGTTATAAAAGAGCTTATCCGTGCTGTCACAGACATGATCAAGCTGGAGAATCCAAAGGATAATACTGAGTTTGTGGACTCGCTTGAGAAGTTACTGAAGTTGTGTCAAGGCATTGGAGTACAGATTGATGAGCTTGGAGCCTGCGTTTATCCGCCACAAGAGTTTGGTCTCATGAAACAAACAGTGGAGAAAATATGGGAAACTATTGGTGAGATTGAGACTGGTGTTAAGAGCTTCAGGAATTCTTCATCAGAAGCTTTATCGGGATCATGTAGAAGGCTGCAGAGTTTGATTGAACATATGGAAACCGAGCTGGACACAAGAATAGAAGCTGAAGTAGTTTGTAAAATGCAGAATGTTACTGTTTAGCACTTAAGGTTCTTACTTCTTAACTTTTAGTTTTTCAGGACTTGTTTTTAGTGTTAAATTGGCAGTTATAGGAAGTGAAACAGTTGCATATACTAAATCTTGTGAGGGGTATATACTAAAGCCTATTTCAAATAGCAATAACAAAACATTTCTAAGAGGAGAGATCCAAAAGAAACAGCTCTTGAAGAATCTGAAAATGTGGAAAGTTTTTCCTACAATGCATGAATCAGCTTAAGAGCAAACCAGAGAGAATACGAAGGAATGTATAAATAAACTATTCTATGGAGCAGCGAATCAATGTCAAGAAAGGAGCTCCGTCCTCAATGCACTTGAAGCATCTCCACAGACCGGATACAAATGGATTCGATCAGACCATGCATTCCTGTCTCTTGAATCGATCTCGGAAATGCATTTCCAGACAGCACTGTTTGCCTTAAAGCCACTTCCAAACCCGATCTGCCATACTTTATCTCCCTTTTTCATTCTACCTTTTGCTTCCAGGTATTGCAGTTCATACCACAGTGAAGACGAAGATGTGTTCCCATAACGGTACAGAGTTGACCTTGAAGCCTCTACGTCTTCCTTGTCCAGATTCAGATGCTTCTCCACGCCCTCGATTATCGCCCTTCCTCCAGCATGTATACAGAAATGCTCAAAAGCTTTCTTAAAGTTGGGTGTGTATATCTCCTTGTGCATTCCCCATTTTCTTTTGATGAATGAGATTATGTATTTGAGCTGCTCTGAATAAGGTAGCACCCGAGGGCCTAACTGCACCACGTTGATCTTTAAGGCCTTTGATGCTACCCTCACAAGCTGCTTGGACAATGCTACTCCCACTTTTCCTTCTTCATCAACTTGCTGCATTACACTCTCATAGGATTCAGTGTCTGAACCGACATGAGTTCTGATAATATGCTGGAGTTTGTATTTCGCCTTATGGGAATCTTGCTTCCTGTTGGAAAGAAGAATCGCAGCCCCACCCATTCTGAATATAGTGTTAGCAATGAGCATTGACTTACACTTCCCTCTGTAACCATTTGGACTCACAGCTTCCATACTCAACACTAGGGCCAAAGAGTCACCATGAATCTTCATAAGATCTTTTACAAGATTAACCGAAAGAATCCCGGCACTGCAGCCCATACCGCTCAAGCTGAAGCTCTTTATGTCACTCCTCATGCCAAACTTGTTTATGATCATAGAAGTTATGGATGGAGAAGGACAGAATAGGCTGCAGTTAGACACAAGGATGTCAATACTCTTAGGATCTATCTCATGCTTTGAGAAAAGGTCTTCAACAATAGCGAAGAGGATCTCATGAGTTTCTTCTCTAGCTGCAGAGAGAGAAGCGTTGGGTGGAATCTCATGGACTGTCGCAGGCACGCTCGCGTCATCACTAATACCTGACCGCTCTAAAATCTTCTGCTGGAGATCAAGACTTTCTTGATCAAAAACACCGGAAATAGTAAGATGTTCAATGAAATTAGAGACTGGAGCTCGCAAGAAGTCAGGAGGTTGATAACATGAGAAGTCAATGAGGTATATAATACATCTTGGTTTAAAAAAATAGTAACCAAAGACAGCTATGAGAACACAGGCCGATGCTGTCAGGAAATGGGGAAAGCTCGTAAAGTTCTGAGTGATAAGGAGAGCTTGATTGATGAAATGAAAGCTCGATTCCATATTCTGGAACCCAAACTGGGAAAAGAGAGAAGCAAGAGAGTCAAGAAAAGAAAATTAATGTTTTGTGGCAAATGTTGGTTATAGTGTTTAGCATAAAGGAAATGGAAAAACAAAGTTTGTTGCATCACAGGGTAAGCATGTGAATGGTGCATGTCCAAAACAAGGATGAAATTCAGGTCTCGTGACTTATATGAGAGTTTGCATGATTTCATGGGAAATGAACATTACGTGTCTCTGTTTCTAAGCTCTACCTCTGTCTCACCAACTCCATGTGTTAATTCAGATCAAACTCTAAAATAGAGGGAAGATTGTTTCATCTTTCAAGCATATTGCTTGAGAAGTGAGAACCTTGACTTTTGTAATTGGGAGAGGAAGACCAGATTAAAAAAATATATATGTAAAATAAAATAACTAAAATCCAGGAAAAAAAATTGAGCTCAATAAATAAAAGTTGAGTGAAGACTAAAGAGCTTACTGTTTTTTTTTCCGATCGTCGTCGTCGTCTCTCACAAATTTCTTCATTCGTTCTGTGGAAACGCAGAAATGGAGACTCCATATCCGAAACTCACCGATCCATCCAAGACTCGAATTGGATGGATCGGGATTGGGATAATGGGATCAGCCATGGTCTCTCATATCCTTGCCGCAGGCTATTCAGTCACCGTCTACGCTCGCGACCTCCGGAAAACAAAGGATCTGCAAACCAAAGGAGCTCGCGTAGCCAATAGCCCTAAAGAGTTAGCGGAGATGAGCGACGTTGTGTTCACTATTGTTGGAAACTCTAACGATGTTGGATCGTTGCTTCTCGGTGACGATGGTGTACTCGCTGGTCTTAAACCCGGTGGAGTAACCGTGGATATGACTAGTAGCAAGCCGGGATTGGCGCGTGAGATACACGCGGAGGCGAGGAGGAGAAATTGCTGGGCGGTGGATGCGCCTGTATCGGGTGGAGATGCCGGAGCACGTGAGGGGAAGCTAACGATTTTCGCTGGCGGAGAGTTGGAGATTGTGGAGTGGTTATCTCCGGTGATGAAGAATATGGGAATTGTGAGGTATATGGGAGAAGCAGGGAGTGGACAGAGTTGTAAGATTGGGAATCAGATTTGTGTTGGAAGCAACATGGTGGGACTAGCTGAAGGGATTGTGTTTGCTGAGAAGGCGGGTTTAGATCCGGTGAAATGGCTTGATGCGGTCAAAGACGGTGCTGCTGGATCCGCGGTTATGCGGCTTTTCGGGGGGATGATGACGGAGAGGGATTATAAGGCGACGGGGTTTGCAGAGTACATGGTGAAAGATTTGGGAATGGCGGCGGAAGCGGCAACGGCAATGCCTGGAACTGCTTTGAACAAGCAGTTGTTCTCTGGAATGGTGGCAAATGGAGATGGGAAGTTGGGATTTCAAGGTGTCGTCTCTGTTATTAGGAGACTTAACGGCATATCTTGATAACACTAGTGTTAACTATGCACACTTGTTTTCTATTTGGTCAGTAGATTTGGTTCTTGAACCAAAGTTGCTAATAAGAACATGGAGTCTCACCAATCTCGAGAACTATAGTTTACAAGAAACATAAACGATAAGAAACAAAGGGGCACTATGAATGGTGTAACATTACCAACCTCTACCTCCTATAAGTAAGTCCTGTTAACCAATAATCTTAAACACGACTATCAAAGGTCTTACATTATACGAGTCACCAAAATAACCTACCGAGTCTCTTCAACTGCAACGTTGGAGTAGCTATACTCAAACATTTCTTCCTCGGATCCCTGCGATCTATTCCTCGTCCATGATATCTTCCATGTCTTATACAAGCTAATCCTGAGTTCAACAAAATGGGGTAAACCATAAGTCAAGAATATGGGTGTTTCATGTCGGGTCATTTCACATAGATACGAGAATGTACCTCTCGGTTTGAACAGTTCTTTCTGCAAGCATGAGGGTAAGAAAGACGGGGACCATAGCGGCGCACAAATGCTTCAAAGAATGCCCACTAATAATATGATGAGTCCAGCTATATATAGGCTTATCCACAGCTTCTTCAACCTTGGCTAAGAGATAGAATCCTGCAATTCAGCCAAATTGAATCTAGAATAAGCACTACAGGTAACAAAGCTTCTGAAGATATCAACACAACACTAAGCACTAACCTGCAGCCCAATGCCAATAAGTGGAATGTGTATACATTGGAGTTAATAGTATAGCCATCAACATTGTATCGTTAAAACCACTCGAAGTTTAGAATTGACTTACCTCCAATACAAAATTCTAACAAGGCCAGCAAGTAGCAAAGGGACAATGGAGTAAGTACCCTTATGCTCTTCAATCCTTTTGATTACAAATATAGCCATGATTGACCTGAATGCAATAATCATCTAAATCAAAAACCAAAAATTGATGAAAGTAACTAAAATCCAGAAAAAAAAAACAAAAATTGAGCTCAATAAATCAAAATCGAGTGAAGTAGGTAAGGCTTACTCTTTTTTTTTTTTTCCAATCGTCGTCGTCGTCTCTCATACAAATTCTTCATTCGTTCTGTGGAAACGCAGAAATGGAGACATCATATCCGAAACTCATCGATCCTTCAAAGACTCGAATAGGATGGATTAGCATCGGGATAATGGGATCGGCCATGGTTTCTCATATTATCGCCGCAGGCTACTTGGTCACCGTCTACGCTCGCGATCTCCGGAAATCAAAGGATCTGCAAACCAAAGGAGCTCGCATCGCCAATAGCCCCAAAGAGTTAGCGGAGATGAGCGACGTTGTGTTCACGATTGTTGGAAACTCTAACGATGTCCGATCGTTGCTTCTCGGTGAAGATGGTGTACTCTCTGGTCTTAATCCCGGTGGAGTAACAGTGGACATGACTAGTAGCACTCCGGAATTGGCGCATGAAATACACGCGGAGGCGAGGAGGAGGAATTGTTGGGCGGTAGATGCGCCGGTATCAGGTGGAGACGCTGGGGCACGCGAGGGGACATTAGGGATTTTCGCCGGCGGAGATTCTGAGATCGTGGAGTGGTTGTCCCCGGTGATGAAGAATATGGGGACTGTAAGTTATATGGGAGGAGCAGGGAGTGGACAGAGCTGCAAGATAGGGAATCAGATCGCCGCTGCAAGCAACCTGGTTGGACTTGCTGAAGGGATTGTGTTCGCCGGGAAGGCGGGTTTAGATACAGTTAAATGGCTTGAGGCGGTTAAGGACGGTGCAGCTGGATCGGCGGTTATGCGGCTGTTTGGGGAGATGATGGTGATGAGGGATTATAAGGCGACTGGGTTTGCAGAGTATATGGTGAAAGATTTGGGAATGGCGGCAGAGGCGGCGATGCCTGGTGCTGCTTTGAGCAAGCAGTTGTTCACTGGAATGGTGGCTAATGGAGATGGCAAGTTAGGGATTCAAGGCGTCGTCTCTGTTATTCGAAGACTTAACGGCCTATCCTGAAAACACTTGTGTTAAGAAAAGTGTTCCAATGGTTTCATGCTCAATTGGGCAAACTTGTCTCTGATTTGGTCTGTAGATTTGGTTTAAGTTGATAATAAGAAGAACATCGAGTCTCACCAATCTCAATAACTAAAGTCACAAGATATAATATCAAAGACGACAGACATTCCATAAGAAAACAAAGGGGCACTATGAATGGTAGAGTGTAGCATTTTGATAAGATTACAGCTCGAGTATTAACGAAAAGGGTGTAACATTAGTATCCAACTGGATTATCAACCTCTACCACCTATATCTAATTCTATAAGCCAATAATCTTAAAACACAACTATCAAAAGTAAAAGATGATCTTACATTGTACGAGTCACCAAAATAATCTACCGAGTCTCTTCGACTGCAACGTTAGAGTAGCTATACTCAAACCTATCTTCCTCGGATCCCTTCTCTCTACTCCTCGTCCATGATATCTTCCATGTCTTATACAAGCTAATCCTGTGTTTAGCAAAATGAGGTAAAACAATGAGACAAGAATATGGGTGTGCCACGTCGGGTCGTTTCATATACATGAGAATAAGAATGTACCTCTCAGTTTGAACGGTTCTTTTCGCAAGCATGAGGGTAAGGAAGACGGGGACCATAGCGGCACACAAATGCTTCAGAGAGTGCCCACTAATAATATGATGTGTCCAGCTATATATAGGCTTATCCGCAGCTTCTTCCACCTTGGCTAAGAGATAAAATCCTGCAATTTCCGCCAGTTGAACCTAGAATAAGAACCAGAAGTAACAAAGCTTCGAATGCAGAGCGAACTGAAGATCTTTCAACACAACACTGAGCACTAACCTGCAGCCCATAGCCAATACGTAGAATGTGTATACATTGGAGGCAATAAAATAGCCATCAACGGAATCACAATGCAAGGAACAAACTGGACTAAAGCATATGGCCTAAGGTCATCGAAAAACCTGCAATTACAGCCTCATGTGAGCTTACTCTATCTCAACATTGTATAGTTAAAACCACTTGAAAGCTTAAGGGTTGACTTACCTCCAATACAAAATGCTAACAAGACCAGCAAGAAGCAAAGGAACAATGGAGTAAGTACCCTTATGCTCATCAATCCTTTCGATTACAAATATAGCCATGATTGATGTGAAAGCAATTGTCATCTAAATCAAAACCAGTGATCAAAAACAAGACAAAGCAAACAAAAAAAAGAGTCTTAGAGAAGAGAAGAGAAAGAGCAAGAGCGTACGGGAAGACGATCCCAGAGGAGAGTAGCATCGTTTGGGTGAAGATGATAGTAAGAAGATCCAAAAGCAACAGAAGCCACACCAACGTAAAAGCAAGTCCATCCTATTTTCTCACCTCGCAAACTGTTTCAATACACACAACAGATTTTAACTAAATTGAATTTTGATTTCACAAAGAAGAAGTATATAAATTAGGCACCTAAATCTGAAGTAATCTTCTGGGTAAAAGCAGAGGATGAGACCGATAAGGCCGATGATTAGGAAAGGGAAGTTGGAGATGACGTTTAAAGCATTCGGAATCCCTGAGAATGGATTTGTAAGATCAAAACCCTAAAATTCAAAAGGAGATTATGAAGAAGAAGAGTGACGAATTATACCGAAGAAGGAGCGTTGATCGGCGAAATTGTGGTAAGACTGAGATTGAGGGATGGTGGGAGTGACGATCATAAGAACTATGAAGATTACAATCGCCGATCCCCATGCGTACATCGTTCGCTTCTTCATCTTCTACTTCTTAGAGAGATTCTCAGGTTTGACTCTTCTCCTTCTTTTCCTTTTTGGGGTCGATGTCATTTAAAGGCGTTGAGGAAATTGGAATTGCCAGAATTACAACAAGAAGGGCAAAACGGTAAATGTAATTGTGTGACGCTTCGACTCTAACTTACACGTTTGTTATTTTGTACAAGTTAGTGTTCTTTTTGTCCGATTTAAATCATACATTTGTTAATGCAAGGATCTTACTTTGGATTCGAATTGTTGCGATAGTTGGGGCGGATAAATCCACTGCTTTTATTTAGCATTCAGAATTTATAGTCGGTAATGGTGCGGGATAACTACAAACCGCTTTTACATATGTATAAATAAATTTGGTCCGCGACGGATTGTTGTCCACTTCAAAAATAGATTGGTCTAGACCACTGATTGTTTAGTCCGCTACGCACGTAACATTTATTCAAACCCTTTATTACATTCATTTAAGAGTTATGTTAAGGTAGTATGTACACAACTCTCTCTATAGTCCAATGCTCAACTTATTTATAGCAAACTGCAAAGGTTGGCCAAACTCAGTATTTTTCCGGAGCCATGTGTTGTCAACTTGTCATACTTGGAATATATATGTTGCTGTCTCGTGAAACATAGGCAGGCTAATCCAACTTATATCCTTCGAAACTGGTTTATTGAGAATGTACCTGGGTGGGACCGAACTCTAGTACAGTCTTCCTAAAACCAACATTGTTTAACCGAGTTCAAAATAGTATCTTTAGAAACCGACCAAAACATTACAGAAACTAGCTCTCACGATTGTTATTCGGCATTCTAACAACTTATCTTGAAAAACTGAGCTAAATCACCAACATGAGTTTCTAGTACCACAAATAAATTTCTTTTTGGATTACAAGAAGCTATGGGACTTTGGTCCATAATCCTCTCAGATCCGAGACCAGAGATGTAAATTAGCCTCTTTTCTTACATCGAGACTCGAAATCGATTGTGATCTTGAGGCATACTAATAAGGGGTTTTGCATAGGGAGATAGACATAACTTCTACATCTAAATATGATTTCAAACACGAAACCAATTAAACATGATCGAGAGGAATGACAGTTGTGATATGCATCATCAAAGATATTCTGTTGATTCTATACCTCACTATATATTTCATTTGCATTTTGTGTTGTCACGAAGCGAAGAAATGATGTTGTTCTTTAACACTGTGATGTAGTCATCACCTTCACATGGCTTCTCATCCATCTACACTTTCCCATATACATTTCGCAACTGTTAGTTCTCTCAAAAAGAACATGCAAATATATGTAAATAATTGTTCAAAAAGAAACAACTCGTTAGTGCCATACTATTGCTAAAGACTATTTATGAATTTAGTTTAGTGTTTCTGGTCCATAGATCGGCTGTCCATAATACATGAAAACATATGTAAATAATCATTCCTCTCTATACACAATGCCACACTCAAAACCAGGTCTATTGAGGTTGAAACAGTCTCTCTCCAACCAATAGAATCAATATCTTAAGAAAACCCACTGGTTCATGAACTTAACTATAAACCATCAATTAGTCCTATATACATTCATTTCTAACCTTATAGAATCTTAACATAATCGTCCCATGCTCAGCTTAAACAAAATCCTACCTTGTATTAGGTTGGAAAAGAAAAGTTACATCATTGTTGATCATATCCATGTCTAAAACTTATATACCAAAGATTTGTGAGTCTATTTACTAACACATTGTCTCGATTCAATAAAAACATAAAACGAAAGAGTAATGAAGAAGATAAGATGAGACACACCTTGACATGGAAGTTGTAACAAACCACCCTTTGCTCTCGGCAAACTAGAGAAGTAGAAGCACTTAAAATACTCAAACCTTGCAGCTCCATTACATGAAGCAAGTTTGAGAACTCATCTTCGCTTTCTTTCTTCAAGCATATCTGTACAACAGCCTCATAACCTGATTCCCCCAATTCAAGAACCGAGATTGCTCGAATAGAAGGACCTCGTCTCTCTAACTCCACAAGCTTCTGCTTTCTGAGAGTAAGCTCTCCAACTTCATTCTGTAGCTTGGGAATGTAAGTGATTACATTATCGATTATAGACGGTGCAGACCATTTCTTCTGCCAAATCAGCAAGACAAGTTATATATAGCTCAAACAACCACAAGAACATACCTAAGTTGTAGTGAAAAAACAAAATGATGAAAACCTTGGAAGAAGAAGAATGATCAGGAAGAAGAGTGCCGAGAGTGAGGTAAGAGGCATGAAGTCTCATCCTCCTTAAACGCTCCTTAGCGTTATGGTCTTGTTTCTTTGATGCACCACTACTTGAGCCATCAACAACATCATGCAAAACTAGTTCCTTCCTTTTTCTTTGTGATTGACAAGTGTCGTCCTTGTCTCCGGAATCTTTCTCAACGATTGTTTCTGCAGGAGGGATATGCAAGCGATCATGGAGTAAACTTGATATTGAAGTTTGATGATTCGGCTGAGAAGACATATATGTAGACGGCAATAGAAACAATAAAGAGGCTTTTGCTCTTCTCTTAAACAAGTGAAACTCAGAATTTGCTAATTAAATGTCTAAACCCTAATTAAGTTAACAAGATGATCTTGACAATGATATGTTTATATATATAGGGGAAGATAGCCTAATAAAGTCAACCACAGAAGCAGTAAATAAATAACAATGCAATGAAGCTACACAAAAACTTTTTAATTTTAAATATTAAAATGATTGAAGATTAAAAATAAAATAAATGAGGTTCAGGGAATCACAGGTCACAGCAAGTTATTAGAAGAGAAAAGGTCGTATATCTGCAGTACAGAAGAATTTGGAAATGATAAGAACCAGAGCGAGCCAGAGAAGAAGAGAAAAACAAATTATTGTTTTTTGGACAGAAGAAGAAAACTTGTGAGAAAGGATTTACAGCTTCTTAATTACCTGGTTCATCTCCTCCAATGTTCTACTTCTTTGTAAGAATGCAGAGTTTTCATAGAAACAGACAAACAGTCATGTAATGTAAGTCTCTCTGGTTTGGTGTATGTCAGTATGTAAGTGGGGGTCTTTAATTATGCAGTACAAATGGTGTTAAACTGTAGTACACAGTACACACATTTCTTTCTTTGTTTAATGGTGTGATTATATGTAATCCCGAATCTCCTCTCTCTCTTCTTTAAAATTATTCTCGTAACACTTGGTGATTTTAATCCCCCCTATTGTTTTATTTTTCAATTACTTTTGTGATTATGCTACTAATTTTTTTTTGTCTTTAGTCAAAAAGAGTGATGTTATCATATTTTTATATGATAGTATTATAAAGACGAATTAGATGAAATACTAAAGTACTATTATAAAAAAATGTAAATATGTAATACAAACACCACTTTCAGAAACAAGGTGGGCGAGCACCATTAATTTTCCTTACCAACAAATGAAGAATTTGACAAAATTGTTGAAATCTCTCTCTCCGAGTTGTGTTTCTACTTGGAAAGACTACAAAACAATTGTGTACATAATGGGAAATCTGAAAGCTGATACTACCCAATTCTGTAAGTGTCTTGAATGACACATCCATCTTTACTGAAAAAACAAAGCTTCTGTGAAAATAGTAGCCACCGATCTTTTGCAATCCAGAGACAAAAGCTCCTGCAAGTTACAACATCCAGTACTAATAAAGCTTCAATAAGAAGAATCTGGCTTTCTCATTCACCTGTTGTCTGAAATCCCAAAACAGATATTGAATCCAAATCAATTGAAGGATCCTTCCCTTATTCCCTATATGTAACAACTCTGACCTCTCCGTGACATACTTTTCATCATTCAAGTTGCCTCTGTCTGCTATTCCAATCATTCCTCCCTAAGTTTGACCTTGAATTTCGTCCCTCTAGTATGCGGTCAGCCCGTTCAAGGATCCTGTCAGTCCGCTCATTAGGCTCATACCCTCTCCGTGCTATTCTTTCTACCATCTCATATGCATCTTCTGCCTGGTTCATTACAATCATTCTCAACAGCATATTGTATGTGTACATATCAAGAGGATAGCATTTCTCTATAACTTCATCTAACCGCTTCAGTTCTATTTCCATATCGATTCGTCCCGAAAATAATCCTATCAACTCACCAAGTGACTTCATCTCAGGGATCTTATCTTCTACATCTCTCATCCGTGTCCATGCTTCATACACCCCTTTGCTCTTCATGGCGTTATGCAAAAGGACATTACCGATGAAAGCTGTAATACGACGCCCACTTTTCCTAAATTCGTTGACTAATCCAACTGCCTCATCATACTTTTCTTCGTTGCACAATTTTTGTATGTTTACTTCGTAACATTCGATACTAGGCCGTAGTCCTTCGCCCTTCATTTCTTCCAAGAAATGCATAGCATCATCCAATCTATTTGCTTTACAGAGGCCAACAATCATAACCTGGTAGAGTCTTTTCTTGGTCTTACCTTTTTCTCGCAGGTCATGGAAAAAGTGAAGAGCATCAGCGATTTTCTCATTTTTAAGGTAACTCTGAAGCATGAGAATGTTTGAATCTAGTGTGGGCGTGATCCCATCTCTATCCATCATATCATACACTAATCTTGCAAGTTTTGGTTTTCCTGCAAACCCAGCTCCTTCAATGAATAAGTTGTAGGCCTGAACCTTATGTTCCCAAAGAGACAACTGAAACTTTAGCAAAGTAGTAAAGAAGTTTTTTTCACCACTTTCCATCTCACAAACACATCGAATAACATTTCGATAGAGACTACGGGTCGGGGTGTAGCCCTTTTCCTGCATCCTGATGATAAGTTTAGCAGCTATGTCTCCCCTCATTAGTGTGATTGAGCCGTATATCAAGCTGGTGAACATTTTGAAGGAGGTGTCTACACCACTTTTATTGAATAGCTCATTAATCATAAGAGCGTCCTCCACTTTCCCAACATCACAAAGAGCTGATATAATCTTGCAACCAGCTATACGTTTAGGCAATAAGTCCCGTTCTGCGGCAGCAATAACCAGCTCCTTTGCCATGTCAGGCTTCCCCTTCCAGCACAAGGCATTGATAAGTGTACTAAATGTCTTTCCACCAAGAAAATGCCCTCGGTCCATTGCCCCTTTCAAGACATCGTAAGCTTGTTCGACACTTTCATTGGCACAAAGGGTATGAATCAGATAGTTGTAAGACGTGGCGGTAGGAGCAAAGCCAATTTCTGACCTCGACCGGTATAACTCAAGGGCTTCATCTACAAATCCAGCTTTGCAAAAGAAGCATAAAGCTGCATTCATCGTTTTCTTATTAGGCGAAACTCCACGTACCATCATCTCCGTCAGGATATCATACACACCATTAAGATCGTTCTCCTTCAAAAGTTGAAAGACCATAGAGTTATACCTGAAAACTTCGAGTTCACACCCTTCTAAAGGACTAATCTTTTGCAAGAAATCCGCAGTGTTGTTCAAGAATCCAGCTCCAATAAGCGCCCTAATCCAAATGTTATAAGCACGGTCCATATTCACAGTTCCCACCACTTTGATCTCGTCTAACAATTTAGTAGCTTCCTGAAATTTTCGTTTGGAACATAGAGCATCAACCAATATGCCTAAGCCAGAACCACATCCGGCAGGATCATTAGGGAGCAAGGCTCGAAGATAAGCTTCAGCCTCATCAAGCTTACCTTGCTTGCACAACTTCTTCACCAAAATGGAATGCGTAACAGCGCAGAGGAAGCCGCGCACGGAGATCTGGTTGAAGATGACATCAACAGTATCAAAACACTTCTCCTCAACAAGTGCATTCAGAAGCACATGATACCCAAAAGAATCCAAATCCAAACCTCGAAATCTCATGTTACCAAAGTGCTGAAGAGCTATATCAGTACGACCAGCGACGGCATAACCAACAACAAGAGCATCACAGAGACGAAGAGAATGACGGTAACCTTCAAAAGCAACACTTCGATCCAAGAAGTCAATCATAAGAGTCACAAGCTTAGCACCACGAAGGATCTTGAAGATAGCATGAAAAGTAGCACGCGTGTGATGAAATCCAGGCTGACGAGCAGCCCAATCGAAGAATTTGAGACATGAGAGGATATCGTAACGAGTGTGTGTAAGCACGTCGAGGACGAATTTCTCAGTGAGGCGAAGTCGGAGATTGGAGAGGTGAAGATAAAAAGCTCGATCATCTCCATCGTTAGAAGGAGCTCGAAGGATATCAAAGATTCGATCGATTAACTGGTGGCTCTGTTTCACATCTCGCTGCTTAAACCAGTCTTTCCATTCGCGGACGAGGAAATCTCCGGGAGCGATTGAAGAAGAAGGTTTCGTGAAGGTAGAGAACGGAGATGTAGAAGAGATAGCGTCGCCGTTGTTACAGGGATTGCAGTTTCTTAACGACGACGCAGTGAGCGATAGTATCCTCCGCCTGAGGAGCATTCCTTCGCATGATCTCGACGGTGACCACCAACACCGAAGTCTCCAAAAACTCGAAAAACCCTAACCTTTTCTACCAATCAATGATCTCCACGTCACACTCGATGTCGTGGCTTTTGTTGGTTATTTACGAGATTACCCTCTTTTGAGTTAGTAAGAATATTTCCCGGCTCGTTTCTGGTTTTCTTCTTCTCCGTCGCGGAAAAGATGGGGACCAATCTGAGATCTTGGCTCTATCTCATTCTTCTCTTCTTCGTCGTCGTCGGCGTCAACGCTCAGAATCGGAGACCTAAGAATGTTCAGGTGGCGGTTAAGGCCAAGTGGCAGGGTACTCCTCTTCTCCTTGAGGCTGGGTAATGCTTCTTCTTACTTTTGTCGATCACCATTGATACTGATCTTGAGCTGAATCTGAGTGATTTTTGTTGTGATATAGTGAGTTGATTTCCAAAGAATCGAAGCAGTTGTTCTGGGAGTTCACTGATGCTTGGCTTGGTTCCGATGGAGATGATACTGGTGATTCCGATTGCAAATCAGCTAGAGATTGTCTTCTTAAGATATCTAAACAGGCTTCGACTCTGTTAGCTCAACCAGTGGCTTCTCTCTTCCATTTCTCACTTACTTTGAGATCTGCCTCGCCCAGGCTTGTGCTTTATCGCCAATTGGCCGATGAGTCTCTATCTTCTTTCCCTCACGGCGATGATCCCTCTGCGACTGACTGCTGTTGGGTCGATACTGGCTCCTCTCTCTTTTACGACGTTGCAGATCTCCAATCCTGGCTCGTTTCTGCTCCTGCGTATGCACTTACAATCTCTCTCTTTATTTTTATTTTTTTGGTTAAGATCACAATTTGTTCTTTCTAAGCTGCATTTCGTTGGATGCCAGTGCTGGAGATGCTGTTCAGGGGCCTGAGCTATTCGACTTCGATCACGTTCATTTTGATTCAAGGGCTGGAAGCCCAGTTGCTGTTCTCTATGGGGCTGTTGGGACTGATTGCTTTAGGAAGTTTCACCTCTCGCTTGCTAAAGCAGCCAAGGAGGTCTCTCTTTTTCCTGGGAAACTTGACTTTCATTATTGAAAAAACGTATTTTGTTATTGGGGTAGAAAAGGAAGGCTTTACCTCGAGCACGAGGCATGAGTTTGAGAAGTTCTCATATGGGGTTCAGTTGTGTTTTTCTTATAGTCTTGATAAAGCAACTTCAGCCTATATTTTCCAGGGATTCCATTTCTTTGTTTCTTTCTGCTTTTTTTGTGTGCATTCTAATGAAGCCTTGGTTTCCTCCAGGGAAAAGTTACATATGTTGTTAGGCCAGTATTACCTTTGGGCTGTGAAGGCAAAACTAGACCCTGCGGTGCCATTGGAGCAAGGGAGAATGTTAGCTTAGCTGGTTATGGTGTGGAGCTTGCTTTGAAGAACATGGAGTACAAGGCAATGGATGATAGTGCTATAAAGAAAGGTTAGTGTTAAACACTCATTTATTCATTTCGCCACCCGAATATTGAAAGTAAAAGATTTTTCCTATTGGTTATTTATTCCTTATCTTCTTTCTGTTAGCTGTGAATTTGCTACTCTTTAATTGTTTCTGCTAAGAGTTTCAGGTATCACTCTTGAAGATCCTAGGACTGAAGATCTTAGTCAAGATGTTAGGGGCTTTATATTCTCAAAAATCCTGGTATGTTTAATTAGAAATATAACCAGTATAATACATAAATATATATAGAACCATTTCTTTCAAAAAATCACTTCATTTTGATCTGCAAGAATGCATGAATGCTCGCAAAATGAATATGTGTTTGTTAGTGGATGTGAGATGGACGAAGATAAGAGAGGAATGACAGAGAAATTTTTTGTAGCAGCTTTTTCATTTTCTTTTGGGTGATCGTTAAGGTCAGTGCTCCTCTTTTGCAGGACAGGAAACCCGAGCTAAGATCAGAAGTCATGGCTTTTAGGGATTATCTTCTATCATCAACAGTATCAGACACGCTTGATGTTTGGGAGCTCAAAGGTACTGCTGCATCCTGCATGTTTGGCTTGATTTTAATAGAAATTGATAAAGTGTTTCCTAATTTACCTTTGTTCCACAGATTTAGGACACCAAACAGCGCAGAGAATAGTCCATGCCTCTGATCCTCTGCAGTCTATGCAAGAAATTAATCAAAACTTTCCTAGTGTAGTTTCTTCATTATCTCGCATGAAGGTATGTCATTGTTTTTTTGATGCTGTGTTTACCTGCTGGTTGAATTGTTTCCTTGTGGTTTCTTTGATTTTAGATGTGTCTGGTTAATCGTGCAGCTCAATGAATCAATCAAAGAAGAGATACTTTCAAACCAGAGAATGGTTCCCCCTGGCAAGGCTTTGTTGGCTCTGAATGGTGCCCTGTTGAACATCGAAGATATGGATCTATACATGTAATACCTTTTTGCACTTTGTGCTATTTTGTCTTGGTCTAGGCATATTTACTGCAATCCATGGTGAAATTCTGATATTTTTTCTTCGTTTGGTACTTTTCCCCAAGCCCATTTTAGCTTCAGTATGGCCAGACCTAGTTTCCCATCTTTCTATTCACTTACATTTGATATCAGTTTGCGTGGTATCGCTTTTCATTTGGATTATTTTACTCCTTTCAAAAGCTAACATGCCTAAATTGTTGGTTATAGTCCATTTGCCATGATCATCTGATCCTTCTGTTTGCAGGTTGATGGATTTGGCTCATCAGGAATTGTCCCTGGCCAACCATTTTTCGAAGCTTAAGGTACGCTTATAATAATGGTCCTAAATTTTATAATTTAGTATTTCTTTTTTCTGTTTTGCTGGAGATCTTGGACATACAGCTTACTTCGTGTGAAATAAAAGTAAAGTTGTAGTTTATATAACATGGAGGAAAAACTGGAACTATACAAATTGATGATTTTTTTTCCTGTCTATTCAGGACACTAAACTGTGATTAGTCTTGAACATATGGATGTGCTAACATGTTTATGCAACTATCAGATACCTGATGGAGCCATACGGAAACTTCTACTAACTACACCTCTCCCTGAACCGGATTCATATCGGGTTGATTTCCGTTCTGTGCATGTTACCTATCTCAACAATCTGGAAGAGGATGATATGTACAAGCGTTGGCGGAGTAATATTAACGAGGTAACTAGTGCAGCTGACATCTCCTTGATAAGTGAGGATACATATGATTTATTTGTAAGCAAGGTGTCATCGGGAAAATAATATCTCTAATGGCATGTGTTTCTCTCACCTTGTAATAAGATTTTGATGCCTGCCTTCCCTGGACAACTACGTTACATCCGAAAGAACCTATTCCATGCAGTTTACGTCATTGATCCAGCGACTCCCTGCGGTCTTGAGGTAAGTCTTATACTTGCCCTTTCCCGGCATTGCTGGCCCTTCGTCCCTTATTCATTAGTACAGAGCTTTTGACCTGACTATTGTTGGATCTCTACAGTCCATTGATACTCTCAGATCTTTATACGAAAATCAACTCCCTGTGAGATTTGGGGTGATATTATATTCCACTCAATTAATCAAGAATATCGAGCAGAATGGTGGTCAAATTCCATCTTCTGATGCAGCGACTAATGCCCAAGTTAAAGAAGACATATCCACTATGGTATTTACCGTTTAGAATATAAATATACTGTTATCATTTTCCCAATTTTGAACTTTTTTGCCTGCAATAAGAAGCTTTTTCTTATTAAGTTCATTTTTAGTTTTTTGCTTGGGGGTTAAACTAAGAAAGGATTTTCTTTTCTGATGAAAAACTCTCTTTGCAGGTCATACGTCTTTTTCTGTACATCAAGGAGCACCATGGGATTCAAACAGCTTTTCAGTTCTTGGGCAATGTAATAGACATTAACACTTAACTCATAGTTAGAAGTGGCTTGATTATTTCTCGTTGATTTTTTGTCATTCTGTCGTAATTTCAAGTATCCAAAACATTAGTTGCTAAGTTCTTCAGGTTTGTTAACAGGTAAACACACTAAGGACTGAATCTGCTGATTCTTCCGAAGAGGACATTGAACAGGAACACGTTGATGGAGCATTTGTTGAGACAATTTTGTAAGTAACATGGATATTTAGAATCATTATTCTACAATCGTAGATCTCTATTAATTTCTATCTACATAGAAAATTTGGATTGTATTCCTTAGCGCTCCTAAAGTTGGGTCTGTTATATTCCAGACCAAAGGTTAAAACACCCCCTCAGGATATATTGCTGAAACTGCAACAAGAGCACACTTTGAAGGAAGCATCTGAAGCGAGCTCCATGTTTGTATTTAAGTTGGGTCTGGCGAAATTGAAGTGTTCCTTTTTGATGAATGGCCTTGTCTTTGATTCCATTGAGGTACTTTTGTGCATCTTTTTTAATATGTCGACGTTCTCAGATGTTGGTAGCTTACTGCAAGCATGCATCTAATTCAGTATTATGTACATGCAAACCATTTTACTTTAATCTGCATCGACATTCACGTCCACATAGTAGAGCTTTTAATATTCTAATGCTTTGATTTTCTTAAGTCTATTATAAATTGGTTCATGAAGCTAGCCCTTGTGTCTCCAGGAAGAAACTCTTTTGAATGCCATGAATGATGAGCTTCCCAAGATACAAGAACAAGTTTATTACGGCCAGATAGAATCCCGTACTAATGTTTTGGACAAATTGCTTTCGGAAAGTGGTCTTAGCCGTTATAATCCACAGGTAGGGAGTTTTACTGGTAGCATATTTTGTAATTTGCTTATGTGTTTGTTTATTACTAATTCCAAGAAGTGTCTGCCTCTCGTAATTGCATTGTTTGTAGATTATTAGTGGAGGAAAGAACAAACCAAGGTTTGTGTCGCTAGCTTCATCTACCAGGAAAGGGGAATCTATGTTGAATGATGTTAACTACTTGCATTCTCCTGAAAGTAAGTAACCATGCATTTATATAGTCAACAGCTTCTTTTCCACATCCCAAATGTGTTTTCTTATGCAAACTCACTTGATATATATCTTCTCTTATGACTATTCCAGCTTCAGAGGATGTTAAGTATGTGACTCATCTCCTTGCTGCTGATGTCGCAACGA